CAACTGAACAATCTCTCCTAAGCAGATACTCCTTTCCACTGATAATTTGTTAATCCTCTCTTGATTCAGTTTGTCATTGTACTGACTTTTGAGGAAATTTTCTGAAATACAAACCTTCCCTACAGCAATGTGTAAAAATGAATTCCAAATTCGCATTTCCATCTGTTATTCGCCAAAAACTGTCGCTGTTGCGGCAACTTTTCTTTTCTTGTTTATATTTCTCCACATACTGTTTCTATGACCAAACTTTAGATATACTGCTCTCCTGTACAGAAATCTTACGAGTGTCAAAATTTTTTCAACAAAATCGAGAGCTTGTGCAGCATGGTGTGTCACCGCTCGAGAAAATGGCGTACAGCTGAGTAATCTGCCTCCGTTATGTGAAATCGATGGCAAATACCCTAGCTAATGTATGCAAACGGCTTGGGCATACAAGATGGCCCAAGACATTCAAATGGTGGAACACGCATATTAATTGGCATTGTGAACATAAATCTTGTGACACTGTGAAAGTGAGCACATAGTCATCTTTTATCAACACCTCACTAACTCGTGCCTAATAAAATGATTTCATGTATTTCTTTTTGACAATTTCGCTATTTCATTTCTTCTGTATAACCTTGAAAAGTTATCCCAGTAGATTAAAGGGTGGTTGTGCATGTGTCTGGTATGCCTAAGAGGTAATGGTCCAAGTGTGATTTATCAGTGCACATAAAGACTTGTAGTTTTCCCATTTCCATACCCATCAATGCTACAGTGGATCATATACATTCAATCTCGAGGGTTTCTCATCTCACTTTTGGCACAGCTCTCAATGATCATGATGGTCATTAGACATCTGCCTATTACTGTAGTACTGAGTACATGGTTTTCTTGAGGACTTGGATTGGGAGGAAAATGTGTTCTCTAGACAAGTACAATAGTGAGGACTCTTTACCAAAGGGATTTTAGGATTAAGATTGTATTTATAAGAAGTGTTTTCTTGTTAGGTGAATCATTTGTGTGTGAAAAAAATTAATAAAAATTCTTTGTCCTCCTGCTATTCATGGCAATAATACTGATGATCACTCTTATTTTTTAAAATTAAAAGCATAATGAATTATTGACTTACTCTAGACAAGGTCTGCTATTCTGAATTGGGTATTGATGTTAGCTAAAAAGTTTCAAAGTACCATCAACCAACCCAGCCCCTTATATGAAAGGCCACCTGAAGCCACATTGCTATTATGTCCTGTAATGTTCATTAGAGAAACCACTTCTATGGTATGCATCCTATTTAGGTTATGTGTGCAGTAGCGTGAAAAGAGATTAGCATTTCAAAGCTGCTGTAGCCATGGAAAAGAATGTATATATATGGATAACTTGCTCAATTTATACTGTAAGAAGGATCATAACTGCAGTGCCATTGCTTTCTTAATCATTCTTTAAACATGACAAAAGTGAAGTAATATGTGTATGTTGGTTTTATAGTTCTTATAGATTCATATTTCTAATAATTCAAGGTAAAAATTAAAAAAAATAGAAGAGGAAAATAAAGTGCATTTAACTTTTTCAATTGTGTAGAAGAAAAGTTAACATTGGGAACAATGAAACCTTATGGAAATCAGAGAATAGCTTAGGGGAAGATATAAAACATCTTTTTTCATTTCCTTTAGTAGAAAAGATAAATGATTAAATAAAGCTGGTAAGGTGCTTTTGTGAATATAGCCATGTTAAATTGGCTAACACCATAATGTATTTGTCGGCAGCCATTGCATTTGGGATTCTGTCAGTAATTACCAGTTTTTACCACATATTTCACTATAAATAACCATTGTTCTTTCTAAATACATTTGGACCAGTAAGGTTGCTGTTTGATTCCATGCCCAATATGACTGCACGGCATGAGATTCAAAGATTTGATTGGTCTTTAAAAGTATGGTCATACTTATCTGCATATGCCAACTGATGTGCACACTTATCAGCCAGAACTTTAAAATGGCAAAATGGCTCCAAGGTTTCAGAATAGTTTATGTGAGAAGATAGTGCAATCGTGTTATGACTTGGCCTGGCACTATCACATTTGCTGTAACAGTACCTTACTCTTCCATTTTGTTTGGAAATTTTAATTTATTGACAGTGTATATGCATCTTTTTCTATTTGATTTTTCTGCCAGGCTGACAAATGGTATAGCCTGGTACTGGCATTTTGAGATTGTGATAAAAAATATAAAGATTATTTTCATATTCTGACTAAAGAGTCAGTCCTGAAAAGAAGGAACTTATAGTGACTTGCAAACAGTATAGTAGGAAAACATCAAAATCCTGAGAACTTGCCTAATTTTGAGAATAGTTGTTCATTAGTTCATTAAGACCTATATATAATTAATTTGTGTGCATATATTAGTCAGCATTTTAACTGCTCTCAAGGCCAGTGATGTCAAATATGATTGACTTATGGCACCAAATATAATAGAAATTCAAAATTTAAATACACATTGTTGGCAGACTTTAATCCTTTCTATGAATTACCAAAGGTGTGGTCCACATGAAAAGGAATTCGAAGCTAAAAAAGCATTAATCTGGGATATATATTCTCTTAAAATTTTTCAAAAATTTCTTAATGTTTTGCATAGATGATATAAAATGGACATCAAACCACTGAATGACATTTTGTCACAAGAAAATATGATTGATGTATTTCCAAAAGTCATGTAGATTTTCTTGGAAATAAGGTAATGAAATCTGCCAATTTCAAGATTTTCAGCTCCTCTTACTTTATAAGATTGGCCAAAAATCCAAGTTTCATCTGTTACTAAAGGAGCAGAGTAGAAATGATGGTTTGGGCACAAGGTTTGAGAACAAGATCTATAAAAAATGAAGGAATTTTGTCTGATACCTATTGCTTCAAATTTGATTCTTACAGACATTTGCTTGTAAATGCATTTACTATATATACTTTGCTTTCACTAGAAAGAGAGAAAGTAGTTTAACCAAATTTCATGTTTTTGTTTGAAAAATGATAACATTAAGCCAAACATGTTAGTGAATAATAATAATTGGATTTATGTCAAAACAAGATGCCATATTGAATTGGCTGCCATATTGTATAGCAACCTTGTGTTCATGACTTTTTGATGCTTAAATATGTCAGACATATAATATGTTAGTCTTTTACAGTTAATCTTGACTATTACTGAATTAATGCTATGGGTATGTGTATGCATGGGAAGGGGGACGCTAAGAAATTATAAGCCTCACTGATGAGACTTTTCTAACTTTTGTCGGAATTCTAACTTTTTCAGGGTCATTTGGGTCATTCTTGTGAACCGTGTACCCTGGACCCCTGGCCAATTTTCCTACTTTTTCAGTGAGGACTAGCCTCATCCCTGAAGCCTCTTCAGTCTCTCTCTATAAAGATACATCAAGATTGTCCTCCCTCTTTCCACAATCTAGCCAATGTCTTAGTATATATGTATATTTAATTTGGATTTTGTTAAATTTGATGGGTGCATTTACAAGCTTTGCTGTTCGTCTTTGAAGGAATTGATTGATTGCTTAAAAAAATGAAGCATGGTAATTACACAATTTTTTCAATGGGTAAAAATTTTCAAACTTTCAGATACATAATTTTATAATCACAAATAATTATATTTCTTTATAGCCTGTGTAGCGCTTTCACTGCATAGAAAGGAACTATAGAGTAGCCTGCTTTTTAATATCTTTGCTACCACCCAATAGGAATGCACTTATTTTGAGAAATTATGATTTAAAAAATACAGTATGTGTAAAATTCACATTTTTCCCAATTAAAAAGATTTAGTAATTTCTGTAAAGCATAAATTGAATAATAAAAAAAAAGAATAACAATTAATACAAGAAATATTCAGTCATATTGCACATTCTTCAGTTGTGGCTAAATTGAAAAATTAAATCATAATCCTTAAGAACATAAATATGCTCAAACAGTTAGCATTTTTTATATGTACACAATTCATACAATAGGTCATAACACAGATGGAAGATAAGTATCTGCTGATAACAACACAGAAGTTTACTTAAGAACCAACGGTAAAACTAATATTTGTTCATAGTGGTAAGTCAACCGTCTTCTTAGTGGTTGATTGTTGATAAACGATACCTGCCTGATTTTACTGGCATCATAAATACCTGGGATGAATTGACAATCAAATATGCTGCCATCTGTCCAGGAACTGCTCTGTGGCACAGATTGAGCAGACGGCACATGGCACAGTTGACATGGGCTAGGAGGTGTTCAAACTGCTGTGTGTGTGTGGAGAAAAAGCATGCATGGCAGCCACAAGACAGGTAGATTTTGTATACAGTACTGTTGGAACTGCTTTTTTTTTCAAACTAGATGTAGGGCATACAGACGAAATTGATAGTATTTGTTTAATCTGGGCTTTATCATGATGTCGTGTTGCTTAGGTGGGGCTGATGTTTTAGTTTTGTGATGTTATGTCAGTATTTGATGTGCAGATGAAAGGTTACTGCTGTTGGACTCAGGAAATGTTTTTACTAAAATTATAATATTTGTTCAGTGAATTAATTGTTGCAAACCTTGGGGAGGCCATAGAGAAGAGTATTCTTGCAGATGGTAATATCTATCAGAAAACTATAAGAGTGAGATTTTGCATGAAATATGACACACTTCATGTTCGATGAGACAGAATGGGATTATATACATTTCTGTGTTAATAGCATCTGCAGGATGTTGCGCTGAGAATAAATAGGTGGGGCATCCAATCAGTCTTAAAAGACAATATATTGGAATGGCCATAAGTTAGGTATTGTCAGTAAACATGTGAGTATTGTAATAAATGTTGATGCAGCAATGAACGATTACAGATAAAAGTAGTATTAACAATAAGAATTGATGTAAAAGATTTGCTTTGCCATTGCTTTGCCATTGATATAGAGGATGCAGAACTAAGAGAAGAGAAATTTTTAAAATATTAGGTCATTTTATATGGTCCTACTTTAAATTTGTGTATTTTCAGCTCCAGCAGTTGATAGTGAGTGGAGAACTACCATGTTCCAAGGAGGAGGCTGCCACACTTGCTGGCATCCAGCTTCACATTGAAGAGGCATGGCCAGAGAATGAAAGTGAAAATGTAGACAAGCAAGCCAGTGACTTAGCCAGAGCTGTAGCTATACTGAAAAGTAAAACTCTCAGTATTGACAACTTGGCCAAGCAAGAAAACCTAACAAGAAAAAAGGAACTGATCCGAACTCAGAAGGCACTAAAATTGACCAGCAGTAGGAGGAAACTTGTACGCCAGTTGACATGTGTCAGTGATACTACGGAGAGTGTGCTCACTGCTACAGAAGTGAACTTTGGAAAGTGCCTGCCACCTGATTATAAGGAGTCTAAAAAAGTGCACGATTTAATAAAAGTAAGTTTTTAATGTCCACAACTGAAGCACAATACCATTTATGCACACACTTGTTCTATAGTTTCATTTTAGATCTTCAACCTCTGTCCTCGGGTGTTGATTTTTTAGAGAAAGATGGTTTTAGTGTTCGTTTCTATTGAATCTGTCAGTCTCCCTATCAACTTCTTAGGTTCTCTGAATGCAGTGAGTTAAACAGATGAACATGCCTCCTGGTTTTTAGTAGAATATTGAAAAGCTGATGCTTATGTGAGTATGTCGGAAACAAGGCATGTTATTATCTGTTAAGCTGATTGCATTCAGCCAATGCCCCCATGGAGTTGGATGGATCTAGGATTCAATAGGAATGACCCCTTATACCTTTAATGTGCAAAAATAAATTCAACTGAACCTACTTATTGAGCAATATGTGACGATTATGTCAAATGATCGTGTTTCACCATTGTAGACAATACTTTTGTACCAAAATATATCAGATCAACTTTCTCTCATGTTTTTTATGGTTCACAATGGCATTCAGAGTCTCATATATTTTTATTATTTATAAAAATCTTGGAAAAATAAATGTAGAATGCAGTGAACAGAATGTAGCCTAATACATGCTATGAATACATAAGTATCACAGCTGTTTCAATGTGTTTTCAAGCTACAAGTAGGTGAAAGCCCTCCAGATGCTCAAAAATTATCTTTAATTCCACAATTGAATTAAGTGAACTATTTGCTAATTACCTTTGAGTCTTAAGTTGAACACTTGTTACAGCTAGGTCCAGGATTTTAAACCGAAAATAAATGCCAAGAGGCTAAGTTTGATGCGCATGTCAATTTCAAACCTGCCTTACAGGGCAAGCAGTACATGAACACAAATTCATCTTCATTTGAAAATGTTTAGGTCTTATGATTTTTTGTTTTTATTCGGCAAGTTCAGTGATTTTGGTGATTGATACTCTGCAGTCAGGTAGAAAATGAATTTAGGTTCTGTGATGAAGCAATAATGATTCTGTAACACCCTTGTATGTAGTTTGAAATGAAATATCAATCTTTTACACAGGTGTTCTTTAATTAGATTCTGTAAGTGGTGTCCTAGATTTAAGGTCTGCTTCTCCACATAACATTGTCATTTTAAAAAGTGACTGTAATAGATCATTATGTTAATGTATAATACTATAATTATAAATGTCATGCTCACAGCCTGGTCTGCAAGAAGTTTTCTTATGATCAGACATTCAGTCTCAGCATTTAGGTCTTATGCATCTGTTGTCATCAGTGTATGTTGCTGCTGTAGTTATAGTCGCAAACACCATTAGGGTTGCTGTTGATATGTTATTGCCTTGGAACAACCATAAGGGAAAATTGTGTTACATTTAATTCTCATACTTTTAAGAATGATTCTTAGAAAAGTAATGAAATATAGCTCAAGTTTGAAATCCAGTGTGATTAGATTACTTTTCTTGAATTTATGAAGTTGTAGTGAGTAACGTTTCCTGAATATACTCAGAAATAGTATAAAATAATTGAAAAACAGTGGTGATTATGGTGCTAGGCATTATGTAATACACTTGCACTTTCATCATTGAATTAATTCCTCTTTATAGACCATTTGAATGAGACTGTTTTTTTTTTTCTTAGTTCTATTGTTAATATATTTGTCCATTTGACAAAAAAAAAAAAAAAAAAAAAAAAAAAAAAAAAAAACAGACAATTTGAGATTTTTTTCTGCAAAAAGTTATATATGGGAAGTTACTGTAGAATCTATGATGAGAGAGAAGAAATAGATAAATCAATCAGTAAATAAAAATAAGATAATGAGATATAGAAAGATAAAACTGAATGATATGTATATATGTAAGACATGTATTCTTGAAAATCATTCTTGAAGTTAACATTCTTAAAGTTAACATTCTTTAAGTTAATAAATATTTCAGTCATTCTTTGCATTTAGCAAAGGCTTATATGTACTTAGAATAAGACTGACAACTTCTTTTTAGAATGAAGAATAGATTTTAGTCCTATGTTTGCAATTAATAGTTTTATATTTTTTCTTTTATTTTTTTAGGAAAAGCAGAAGCGCCTTTGGCATACACCATACTATGACAATGAAATCAAACTGAAGCAGTTGTATATCAAGATCTGCAAAAACCTACCTGCTTATGGCTGTAAACTATTTCAAGTCAAGGAGCTGATTAGAGGAAGCTCTCGCAAGAAGGTAACCTTCCGATTAGTATCAAACAACAGATGTGAAGTCAACAACAGATATATGAAATTACATATTTGCAAAAATATTTTTAAGATTTAGGATGAAAAATTCCAAATATAAGAATATGTCTGACTTATTACATTATCTTAAAAATCTACACATTGTCTGCTGAACTTCATGATCGTAAAGGGACACAGAGTTCAAATGAGGATTTGAACTGGTTTGTGTATAGATGACATCATCACACTGCCAAATAACTGACCCAATGAGTAAATCTCCAGAAGTAGGCAAACTTGGTTACCCACCAGGCAGAGAATGCTAAAAAATGGATTACTAAGATTCATTACGAAGTGACAGCAGTTACCCTGAAGTGCCATTTTCTTACACAATACAATTTAAATCCACATGCCAAACATCAACTAAAAATAACTTCTTGGGTACTATAAGAAAATTTCTGGTAGTAAATTAAATTTCCTTATTTTCCCTCCAGTCCTTAAACCTCAGAAAGTAAGCAGGTCAAATGTGCAATTATCAATTTTCAGAAAATTATTCATCAAAATTCAGTTGTATTTCTTTAAGTTCTACAGTGTGCTATTTTAGTCAGTATGGTGGCAATTGGTCGGATCTTGCGGCAATAACTTGATGTAAGTACTCGCTTAATATGCATCTTGGATTTTGTCTTGATGTCTGGTGATGATCAAAACTCAAATAGTTCTAAACCTCAGTGTGTTTTAACATACGCAAATACAGACACAAATTGTGGTGCAGAGTTAATCTTGACCACACAGAGGAGCATGTTAAGGAGAAGCTGTGGTCAGGTTGTAACAGTTTCAGTAAACATCTCTGTGTTGTGGTGATAAGACCACTGATGCCTAGGCTTGATTGTCATGAGAAAGATGATAGAAAAAGACTAGTATTAACAATGAATGGGCACATATATATGTCTTCATATAGAAGTCATTGATTTCTCTCTTCATGAGGATCCTTGAAAGTAAGGTTTTGTCCAGTCCACAGTAGACTTTGTTCTTTTTCTCATCTCGAAGAATCCGCAGGATGAACTACGAGGGATAAGAACCATTTTTATCACTACCTATAACTATGCAATGAAGTGGTAATTTAGTGAACTCACAAGATACACATAGCAATCTGATCTGACTGCATCCAGATAAAAAATAATAAAAATTCTAAGTCAGGCTAGACAAAATTGATAAGTTGGATAAAGAACAGCATTTGTGTTAACAAAAGTTTTGTCATGATAGGTCACAAATAGGCTAACTAAAAATTGATTAAATTTTGGTGAAGATCCATTAATCAATCAATCAATCAATCAATTAATCAATCAAGTAAATCAACCAGTCAATAATTAAATCACTCTATCTGCCAATTGAGTGCTTTTCAAGTTATTATTATTATTATTATTTGATAAAACAAAAAAAAAGAGATTTTACAAAATGGTCTAATTATTACTTTTCTTTTGAAGCCTCATTTATTAGGTTTACTCTAGCTGACCAGTAGGACTGTATTCTGGAAAATGAAAAATTATCTTTTTATTGATGAATTGCTAACAAAGTCCCATTCTGGGAGACCATTATGATGGCATTAGTTGCCAGCAGGTTTGATATGTTTCTGGCCAGTAATCCATATTATCTGCATTTTCTTATTAGTTTCATTATGTCTGGAATCTGAGACCAGTGACCTTTGAAATCCTTAAATCTGTCATAGCAACATATTAGGGCAGGATGCATTTGTCACAGTGTCATTCTGTTTTTCAGATTTAGTTTGTATTGTATATTTCCTTGACAAATATGGACATCCCATTTCTGTATTATATTGTAAAATTAATTGCATTTCCATCCTTTCTTGTATCAAAGGACTTGCTGATAACATTAAGATCTCTTCCTTTTAATGTGAATCTATTGAGAGACACCTCCAGGGTAATAACGCTGCAGCATTTACATTAATGGGAACTTAGGTAAAACATATCAATATGAAGCTGAAAAAGAGAGAGAGTCACTTTTGCTACTTGCATTTATAAAAAATGTGATAAAGCATGTTAATATGAATTGCAGATGATTTATAAGTTTTTTTCCTAATTAAGTGGTAAGATTAGAGGAATGGTTACTGTAGAATGCAACTTAACCCATTTTTTGCTTCTGGAATGTAAAATGTAAAATCTAATATCATACATTGTCTATTCAATTCCATCCTTATTGTAGTCTTGAATTGGTGAGTTGTAAACATTGAGGTAGAGGGACAAATTACACTTAGAAGCAATGTTTTGGAAATGTGTATTGTAATTATGATCCAAGTAAGGTAAAGTAAAACTGATAACTGCTCTTCAAGGGCAAATGACACAGCATAACTTAGGAGTACCGGGGACTGGCTGGGAGAATGTCTTTGTGCAGAACTGTTACACAGCTGTACTCATAACATGTCACCTACCCGGTATCAATGAAATTACCTGAAATTGTGCAGGTGTGACAGGTGACAAATACCAAACATGACATCACTTTACATAGTTATTGTGCAGTATTTTTATTTATAGTTTTCATTAATTAATTTTTGTCTACATTTCGACTGAATAGATAAAGTCAATTTGGAAACAAGTCCCCAAAGTTTTCTTTGCTCAAAGCAGTTTGCTTTATTTTGAACTTGGCCTTTTTTTCTTTGACTCCCAGTTTTATTGTATCACTGGCATGTACTTACTTGATCTTATTGGAATAAATCATCATTATTCTGAAGGTGCATATGTTTTACCAAATACCACTGTCCTTGCCTAGTCTTGCATAAACTTGTTTTGTTGGAACACCACTTGGTGTTAAAAACAAGGGAGAGGCAGTACAGTACCTCATAATATTTGATAAAGAAGTATAAGGGACAATTTATTGGTGAAGAGGGTACACCTTTGAAATACAGTTGTAGCAGTGTGTGAATATGAACAAAAAGTGATGGATTATCTACAGGATCTTGTGGCCTGTGTGGGATCTCACTTTGGGAATCATCAGAAGGAGAGAGGAGTGGTAATTAATGGAGTGCTGATTAAACAGAATCTTAACCAAATATAAGTCACTCTCATCTTAATCACTTTGACTTTGATCAGGTTCATTAAAAGAGGGAAAATGAATTGAAAGAACTTATATTGTTGTATGGTTTACAGTTCCCTCTGAATAGACATCATGCCAAAGAGATAGATGGTAAATATAATTGTTTTATTTTTGTGTTGATGATGTGATGCATTGTCAACACAGTTAACTTTTGGATGGATGAAAGGACACAGAAAGATTCTGTAATTGAAGTCTATGGTGGATGTAAATTTAAATTCTATCAGTTAAAATTGTACCATGTTGGGGGATATGATAATTGTTAGAATATTGACATTCTAGCTATAGCATAATAGATAGAGATGTCAGATACATTTAATTAATATTAATACTTACAAGACTGAACTGTAAGCATTTAGACTAAAGCTGATAAATGGGATATCATACATTAATTATGGTATGTACTGAGATGAGGTTTTGATTGTTTTAAGATGATCATTGGGTTTAAGAAGGTAGAATGATAACTCCTGCAAAGAATAGCAAATCTATGTCTTCATGGCTAGGGAATTTCTCTCTGAACTCTGGCAAAAACTAAGCAGGTCAAAGTAGACCCTCATTGTTTGCAGAGATGTTTTGTCTGTGTTGGTAAAAAAACATGCCAGAGTGCCAACAGTTCCTTGGGTAAGTCAGTTCTTGGCACAGCTGGTATTTCCATTGTCATCAGCAAGAGAAACTAGGGAAGCTTCTATCCATGTTTTTACGTTTGACTTCAAGCTTTGCTGCATAGCCGTGGAGTATCACACCTGTGGTTTCAACTCCTTACCTCAACATCTGGTGCTTTTGAAGTTAAGAGCAAAGTAAAGACATGCATATATATATATAGGCAAAATGTGACTTTGGTTTTCCAGTGATTATCTGTTGTTTGCTAACAAATGGTCACACATGCAAGATATACTCTCTGAATTTGACTGATATCCTTAAAACTAGTAGCTATAAATATATATAGCCAATGTCACACATTTGTCTAGCTAGGGTCTGCCAAGGATTTTCTATTTTTGACCCTTGTTTTAGGTTAATATTTTGAAAAGTACTCTGTTTTTCTCCCTTGCAGGTGGGCCGTATTCTTGCGGTCAGTGCGTCAAAGATTCAGTTGCTGGACAGTAAAAGCCGTTTCATAGTCCGATCTCAGCCAGCCAGCTCACTACAGGTGTGGAATAGGAGTGGAGGGCGCTCCCAGGAAAAGTAAGATTTTTGTTTGTTTTATTTCATTTCTGGGTGTATAATTTTTTGAGAGAAAAAGGTTTAATTTTATAAGATCTGAATGCAAATTTAAAAAATAGAGTATTGAAATGATATCAGAAAATCTGTGGTAGACTATAATGACTAGTTATGAATGTTTTTTTAAGTCACTTAAAAGTCAGAACCTATTTAGTAAAAAATTTTAGTTGACGTCTTTTTTATTTTAAATTGCACATTTTTATATTATTAAGAATGTGAAACAATTGTGGTCCTCCTTATATTTTGTGGTCATTATCATACATGTAGCTGCCACAGTTTTGCGGCAGCACATTCTATTTTAGACTAGTTATCTGTCAAAGTTCTAAGAGTGAAAACCAATATCCTTTATATGAATAAAGTATTTTAAATGTCACCAAATGTCTGGAAAAAACCAACCTTACTCTAATGTAAACACAATGAAAAGAAGTAATTTAATCAGCTGTTTGCTATTTATGTAAGGTTTAAAATGAAAATTTAGGTGATTTTCTTAAATTTCAGTTTCAGATAATATTCAATCAAAGAACATTTAGTATTTCATTTTGAGAAATTCTTGGAAAAAATAAATATGTCTCATCTGTCATAACATTACCGCAGGTGAGTCATCATCTCCAGTAAATATACGCTAGCATTGTAGCTTCTAACATGGCTAATACATGCCTTCAAACCAAACCACACTTTCAGGCTGGTTTTGGAGTTTTTTGGCACCAGACCCTGGGTCCTGTCAATGGCACTTGCTGACTCATACAAGGAAGTGACCAGTGCATTGTGGGAAGTCCTGGGGATGGACAGCAAGTGTCTGGAAAGCATTTCTATGAGAAGAGACAGCTGGAACTACCTGGGTATGAGAACACTCATGCAAAATCCTCAAGATGTATTGTTTTGGGAACCAGTAGTTTAATTAGAAACTTCTTTGAGTATTTCCATTTTCTGTTATGTAAAAAGTACATGAGAGACCCGTCTGTAGAGAATATGACAATTAAATTACTCTAAAAAAATTGAATTGTTGGTTTTAGATCTGAATGTTAGCTGGAAATAATATTTTTCCCTTCATACATGAATTTTGCAGCATTAAACAAATGTTCCATTGCTCTTTGTAATGAAACCTTTTATACTTATGTAATTTTAAGTTTTTATAACACGCAAACACAATCCCCAATTCCATGGTTCATGTCAGCTTTACGTAAAGTCACTCAAAGAAAACCCAAGGACACATTATGACCAGTTTAACAGTTATTTAGTTGTCGCACTCTACCAGTAGCTACATGATCTATGTAAAGTCTCCAACTTCTGAACCATCTCCCATGTCTCGCATCCTTCTTCCTAGCTCTCTCGATTAGTCTCCTTAAGTCTCTCTCAATCTGATATTACTTCTGAACGTCTTATATACAAATTCCTTATCTATGGTGGATTCAATGCAGCGGTGCATACTAATTTTAATTACTCAAATTGCACAGGTCCACATGCGTTATATGATTACATCCTTACATGCAAGGCCATAAACAAGTGCACAAGCAAGCGACTCCATTAGAATTAATCAACAAGTCTGGAGATTATATTTGTGAACTGAACATCTTGATGAAATACATACATTGGCCTTCTTAAAAGTAGCTTTTGTTTGATGCTTATGTGACCTGGCAGCCAACTTTGGCACATTAATGTTCAACAAGTTGAAATGCCAGAAAAAATGGGATAGTTGTAAAGTTGAAACAGAAACACTCAGCCAAGTAGTGAAATTACTGATGCAGTTTTGGTAGATGCTGAAGACTTGACTGGGTTAAAATCAAGTAAATATACACTGTTAGGATTTTCTAAAGAAAAAATACAAAATTGTTCATGATGTTATAATTTTTACATTAAAATATGGGTGCGCTTCGCTATGCCGAAGGTTCGCTATGCCGAAGGTTCGCTATGCCGAGGGTTCGCTATGCCGAAGGTTCGTTATGCCGAGGGTTCGCTGAGCCGAAGGTTCGCTATACCGAGGGTTCGCTATGCCGATTGTTTTTAAAAAGATGTTAATTTTACACACACCCAATAACTACAAGTTCGCCAAAAATAATTAGAGAATGTTTTCTTGTCAGTAATTTCCTAAATGTGGGTGACACCCATAGTGCCAAAAATAATTAATAAATTAACTTACAGAACTGATTATTTAAAGCGATTTAAGATGTTTATGTCCATAAGGATAAACCTTCAATGCGCAGTTTTAACAAATTCAAATGGTACGGATGGAAGAAGAGAACTTTTAAAACTCGTTTATTTTCAAAAAAGGCCACTGCTCGCCACGTTACATAACAAGCACAATGGGNTGAAGACTTGACTGGGTTAAAATCAAGTAAATATACACTGTTAGGATTTTCTAAAGAAAAAATACAAAATTGTTCATGATGTTATAATTTTTACATTAAAATATTATGAACCTGCATGTACACACACATTTCAAGAGTTACATAAATACACTGTATAATTCGGAGATGTTATTGTTCTTGAGAGAGGAAAAGGTTATGGTAACAGAAAAAGGGTTATTTGGATTTTGGTAAGCATATGCACTTTTCTAAATACATATACATGTTGTGGGTATGTGCATATTTATGCTTTTAATTTTTTTTCAATAGAAAATGAATCCAACATAAAGACAGAATAAAGAACATGTCCTGGGTAGTTACTTATACTTGATAATACATATATTACTGTTTGCTTTAGATTTTAGTGGAAAGCGGCAACTTATGTGCCGCAGTGACCATGACCATAGCTCCATCCCAAGCCAAGAACTAGACAATCTTCAGAAGCTTCTCCATTTCCCAGAGGAAGTGGCCTTCATGCTGACCAAGGTGGAGCGTGAGTTATTCCAGCAAGTGACCCCTGTCCAGTATATCCGTCAGCTGACTCTTGACCTGTCCAGAATTCCCAGCTCAGGAACCAGTCAACCCACAGTCCACAGTCTGGTGCACAGGTTCTGTGAGGTAACAGTCTGAAAATAATTAGTGTTTAGAAAAGCCAGATTCTTGGAAAAACAATTCATCTTTTAAAGCATATTGATTTTCTGAAGAAAAGATACAGGGAACAAAATTGTATCCTTGATTGGGAAGGGGATTTATCTTATAAGCCTGATATAGACTAGGCTTTATTTTGAACATTGATATAAGAATCTTTTAACAGATTGTTTTGTTGACTATCTATCTCTGGAAAACGTGCATTTTATGTCTAGTTTTGCTTTTTAATGACCTAGCTTGTACTAGAAGGAAATTGCACCAAAGGCTTGGGTGTTATTAGGCAGTATAAATGATGATGCTTCTTAGTATAACAATTTGCTGGAAACTACATGCTGTTGGATTTCAAAGAAATCAATATTGTTTACAATATTATTGACAAAAACCATTAGTTATATTAAAGAGGAGAAGAGCAGCAAAATAATGGCCATTTTGAGGTTTGCTTTTGATTAAGTGTATTGTAAAAACATGCTTAATTGTAGTTATTATTTTATTGCTTAGTACAAGTGGCCCTTTTTATACTTTGTTCTTACTAAAAAGGTTTTTATACTTAAATACCAAATTTCAACTTGAAAAAGTGTTTTAATTTAATTAAGGGAGTCCTACATATGGTACCTTTGTGTGAGGTGACGCTTCCAGTTAGAATTTAAAGCCCATTTTGCCAACAGGCACAAAGCCTCGTTTGATATGTAAACATTAAAGTGATATCTTCTTGGATAATGTGCATATATTTTTTCTTGTAATTTCACAAGAACACTTCTTATTAAGTAACAATAACAGTTGCACAGGTGAAAGAAAATGAAAAACTTAAATCTTAATCAATATATTCTAATTTGTTTATTTTTATAAATATTTATAAATGATATTTATTATTAAAGAAGTCCATGTTGAAGTCAACAAATTACAATCTGTTGTTACAGGTCAGCTCATGGGTGACCCATCTTATTATCACCCAGCCTACTCATGAAGATCGCAAGGCCGTGCTGTCATGCATCCTGCGCTTGGTCAGTGCGTGCTGGAGCCTTGGCAACTTTAACACTGCAGTGGAGGTCCTGGCAGGGCTCAAGTATGTGATTTATTGCCACATTATAACCTAATAGATTCTCACACAGAAACCACTTGTGTAAATGCCTCTGATAAGATAAAGTTGTGGCACTGAAGTGTTTATGTCAAGCCATTTGTTTCTGTGAGTTTTCCAAGTGACTACACCTTGGGTAGTAAGGTATGCTCAGGTCTAAGTGAGTACATGTTGTGAAGGGAATGCAGTTTATCCTAGGGTTCATATGAACATATGTTTCTGCACTGATTTTCTTTATTTCAGATTGGTCCATAAGTTTTGCATTCTTTTGTTATTAATTTATGGCATTCATTTTACATTGTAATAACCAAAAATTGAATATGAGGCAAGCTGATCCAGGGCTGTTTGTGCCACTCTAACTACATGCATGATGAGATAATTTTTATTTAAGCATAAATGATTATATATTATAAAATTTCTCTCAACACATTCAGATCTGATAAGCTGAAGCCTTTTTGGTTGTCCATATCTGACGAAGACTTGTCTACCCTGCACATGCTCAGTGATGCTGTGCTGTCTGGGGAGGTCACTTTGGAATACAAGGAGGCTCTGGCCAGAGCTCTTGATATCCTTGACTGTAAGGTGGTACCTTTCTTTGGTGGCTTCCTCTCTGACCTGAAGACCATCTTGGCTGGGGTACCGAGTATTGTTGTCCTACCATCAGAAGAAAACCAGTCCCTAGAAGTGAGTTTGAAGTAATCAAAATGTTATATGTTATTCCTTTTGATTATGTATTAATAGTGATGCCTCTATAGTGATATCTATGTTATTATAGTATAAATTACAAATATCAAAATACTGGAAAAACTCAATACCTATGTCATGATTATTGATTAAGCATCATATAATGATTTTTTGTAAAAACACTTTCACTATTTATACTTCACAGGCACCCATTATTATCATTATTGCTTCTTTGTAGTTTATTTCTGACTACAATGGAGAGGATAGATTTATGACGAGGATTGGTGTGGGGGGTCTTCTGAATGTTGACAAGCTTCGCCAAGCACAAATTGTCTTGGATGACATTGAGCAATTCAGACAACATGGTCGACAGCAAGATGCTTCTGATGTAGAGTGCTCATCACTGGATAGGTAGGTATTGTGTAGAAATTGATAAAAGGTATAATTATTGGCTTTTTACTATAAGCAAAAGTAGTCATGTCTAAGTCTTATAAAAATGCCAAATGATTGAGGTCTCATAGATTACCATGTTTATGGCATCACTGAGAAAAATAGGGTCTATATATAAGGTGTAAAATAGACAACTTCACGGAGCGAAAAAATAAATTTCTGGAAATATATCAAATTAAATTTTAAGTATGACAACTTTAATCTTTGATGCATTTTGTGTAATATGTGTGTGGGTGTACATGCTCTTGTGTGCACAAGAGTGTATGTGTGGAAAGTTGAATGCATATACATATATTACAGGGACAAGAGTGATGCAGAATCAGACCTTGGTAAAGTAGAAAGAGAAGACAGCGACTATGACCTAGATCTAGACAGCTATCAACCCATCCACCCACTCTCTGCAGACCATGGAGTCACCATCATCCCTCCAAAGCAGGCCAAGATCAACCTCCACTACTTGCAGTGCATGCACTTTGGCAGCACAGTGATCCACACAGAGGAGGACAGCTCCAGGTCCGCCATATGCTGCCTTAAACTAGAACACACTAACGGCATGCTATCCTGGTGCAAGCCCAGTTGGAGTACCATGAGAGGAGGCTCCACTGACTACTACTTAGGGGGAGAGTGGGACTCCCCTCCCTCTACAGGGCTAATAAACAGATACACCTATGGGGACCTGGTATGTACGAACTTAGAAGAAGGCTATATAGATCTAAGTTTTATCAAGGAGGTTGTTCTGGGCAACCAGTTGATTGACACCACTGTGATATGTAAACGCCATGGCCTTGAAGACCTTACGGCCAACCAGCATTGTGTGTCTATCCTGTATGGCACAAATCTCTCTGATAATCGCTGGTTGAATTTTGTGGCACCCAGTAATGTGGTACAGGTATGGTACCTAGGACTGAAGTGTCTTGTAGCAGCTGTGCGGAGACAGCAGCAGCAGACAGACCAGAGAATACAGTGGTTAAAGGAACAATACTTGCAGCTGTACTACTGGGAAAATAAATGCCAGGGACCAAACCCTGCTGAGGCTATAAAGGTAAGTTAGGTCTTGTCCTTTAAGCACAAATTCTACTGACTTCTGCAGTATTATGAAGGCATGAATTCTTGTTTAACTGCACATAAATGCATATGAAAAGTCTTTTCTGCCATACAGTAACTTTAGGTGTTACATGTTTAAGTGTGCAATTATTTCATACACATTTTTGACATAATATAACTTTTAATCTTATAATAAGATAAATAATAGATTAAACTGAAGGCACTTGGACAGCCTTATTCCATGGATAATTTTGATAGAACTACTAGCTAATTTCATAAATGCACTTATTTATTTATACGATTATCAGCTGATGTTTTTTGTTAATCACAGAGGTATGGCTGGCACAAAAAAATCATAATCGGCATAATGTGTATCATATTGCTGTGTTGAATAGGGCCACTTTTCTTTTGTTGCATATTTAGGTATTTGGTGGCCGTAAATGGGACTCGAACACAAACATTCCAAATAGCCCAATCCCTGGCTCTGGCCCCCAGTCTCAGCAGCCCCAGTCTCAGCAGCCACAGCTCCAGCCACAGCCTAGCACAGGGTTTAAGCGGTCAGCCAGTGTTGGTGTGGGTCCGCTCAGAACGACCAGAAAATGTCTGAACAGTCCACTGACCTCAATTAGAGTATGATATAAAATTTTTGTCTAATTAAAACTTAACACTTTTCAGAGTTGCAGTGATATTTTAAAGGAGCATTTATGTTTAAAGAGTTATTTAAATATTATGTTTAATGCTTCTTTTGATTGAATAAGGTGAATGTTAATTTTACTATGCAATAACTTTAATTTCAAATTAAATTTGCTTTAATAATAAATGAGAAGAAAAAGAGAAATTTCAGAATTATTTTCCAGCTTAAAATAACATTTTACCTGTAGCTTTGTGTTTCTCCAAGAAATCTGTTAAAATTTCCATTCAAAACAAGAAAATATATTTTAGATGTTATGTTAGATTTGAGTAAAAAGATTGAAGAAGGTCAGCTTTTAGTGATTACTCTGTATTATTTCTCACAGGATGTGCTCCCTTCACGGAGAGCATCTGCTGGGGATTCTCCTGATTCTCCTCAAGCATCTTCTGCCCCAGCTGCAACTTGCCTGCCAGAGGAACGTAGTGCCCCGTCCCCCAGACCTGAGCCTCTGAGGACCACAGTGAGATCAGGCAGCGACTCTGAGTTAGAGAATAGGTTGCACAGAATACCAGTCCATACATTGAAGAGAAAGTGTATGACTTGGAATGTAGCCTTTACACACAGGTTTGTTTTGAATATCTTTTTAAGGTATTTTAAAATATACATCAAATTATTTTTTTTTTGTAATAAATGGTGATTTTATTTTGATTTAATAAATACTGTGTATACCTGCCTTCAAAAAGTCATGGGCTTTTCAAATACATTTGTTTGAAAGTTTTTTTTTTCATCTTTATGTTATATTTGCTTTGGTAGGAGTGAAAGGAGAAAGCTTTCCATTGGAGGCCACTTTGTAGATACCAAGAACAACTCTATCACACATTCCACCCAGCTAGACTTTCTGGATTTCTTGGACTTATTCAAAGCTTTTAGTCTGCGTTGCCGAAAAGACATCAAAGACCTTTATGAGAGATTTTTGCTTTCTAAACCTGGAGACAGTAACACATGTGGACAAGGCAGTGAAAAAGTCTTGCTGAAGCCAAACAAAAAAGATATGGGTAAGGGATTGTTTTTTAACTTGTGTGCACATATATGGGTCAGTTACATTAATATGAAATTTTGAATATTTTGTAAGGAAATAAAGACCTTGTCAAAGGAGATGAGAAAAAGATGTGTTTATGATTATGAAAATAGAAAATAATCTAAGCAGTTGGTGTTTTTTATCAGTTACCATTTTTGAAGATGTCAACTGTATATGCCAGAATATAACCCTTAAACCTAGGGATGATTTTCACATTTCTTTCATGTAGCTGTAAACCCTGAACTACACCATGTAAATAGTGCCCAACATTGATGCAGCGGCAACATTAATGCACGACAAACTGTAATTTATCATAATAAATGCACTGTAACATGCTGATTGCAAGGATGACCCTATTGTACAAGATAATTAAGAGGTCACAGCCTGTGGAACCCATATACCACCTGGTACTATTTTGGCCTGGTTTCTTTCTAGTGTACAGCCACTGTATAAGTAATTGCTCTGCAACCAGACTTTAGTGATCTTTTTTGTGATGATTGGCTTGATTTTCTGAAGAGCATATTATTAAATAGTCAATTTTAAGAGAAATTTAACAAAACTTTCTTTCAAGTTTTTTGGGAACTTCTGTGATATTTGATATTTAAAATTTATTTACCTGGCAAAGATAAGATTCACATACTTGTAAAATAATTTTTTTTCTTGCAACATACTACCACATATAGGTGAAAATATGTTTGTATTTATAAGATGTACCAGGATGTCTGGTAGTATTCATAAAGTATTTTAATTTAAATTACGCTGAATGGATTTAAAAGGATTATGGAATGAGATGTCAGATTTGGGGAAATGAAAAAAGACCTTCAAAGGAGGAGTCCTGTCATGTTTCCAGTCCAGCTGCTTCCGGCCTCTAAAGGACAAAGCCCAGATGATACATTTACTTTGAGAAATAATGACATAGATCATGGAGAACAGCTGATGCATATTTTTATGACTGAGTTGAATTTTAGGATACACTTGTTTTTTATTATTAAATGTCATGGTCATGCGCATAGTGTGATGTGTTTATACACAAAATTACAGTAATATTTGAAGTGCAGTTTGAGAACATTAACCCTCAAGTTACTTTTGTACGTTGAAATAGAGTACTAATGGATATTTCTGTGTAATAAGTAACTGTGTACTAAGTTGTAAGAAAAAAATAATAGCTTATTTTTTAAACATCTCTTGGTTAAGAATATTGAAGGTCTACATCTGTCGCCTATTTGCTAAAAAACAAATTATCTAGCCAAGCTCCATCTTGTGTTTGTCTTTTCCATATTTAATTAGAATCAAATAAAGAATTATACCAACCCCTTATCTTGATCGAGTTAACATTATGAATGATCTCTGAACTGCACTTTCCAGGTCTGATAACCAGGAACACAATCTTAGATCTGACTCTTGACAACCATCGGAGGCGTATCTGTGATGCGCTGGCGGTGGCCAGTATTGTCAGTAACTGCGCTGGGGTCAGTACAGCCAAACGGGAGTTCATCAGCGTGTGTGAATTTCGTGGCTTCTTGCATGAATACCAGGAGGACCATCTCATTGATGATGACATCGTCAAGTTGATACAGGTATTATCATGGCTAGTTATCCCAGTTGAATGCTGAATTTATTTAAATTATTGTCATGGAAATTTCACAGCTGTGTGAGAGGTGTACATAGAACACCCCATATTTAGATTAAAGAATTTTGATCTGTAGGGATTCAGTCAAAAGCATTTAAGAAATGAAAGAAACAAATATCACAGGAAATTGCTCCTTTATTATTCAAGAAGTAGATATATTTGTGATGTGTAGTGTAAATAGTTTCGATCAACTCAGCTTCATATGGCTTGAGAGAAACACTGGTTCTAGCTGCATAATACTTTTTACATACATTTTTTAGATATATGACTTTTATCTCATACCACATGTAACCATTTTTGCAAATGAGAATGTCATGTTTATATTTTGGTTCTTATAGCGCCATGAACCTGACCCCAGCCTGAGGCAAATGCGTGTGCTCTCATTTGAAGGGTTTGCCAGGTACCTGATGGACAAGGACAACTATGCCTACCAGAATGAAAAGACAAACCACACAGATGAGGTATGAAATGTAATTTCTTTCTAATTGAATGAATTCTTTTAAAATTTGATCCAAATTATTCAATGTCATTCGTCAGAGTTTTAATCAACTGTGACACTCCAACTTTTCTTGTTGCAAATCATGTTTTACACTGAAACAGGATGAATTTGCTTTGAAACATTGTTCATAATATGTCTAGACATACTTGATTATTTACATGGTATCCTTTTCCTGTCTAGGACATGGACCAGCCCATGACTCACTACTATATAGCATCCTCACACAACACCTACCTGACTGGGAATCAGTTCAAGGGGGAGTCTTCAGTGGAACTCTATAGTCAGGTAAATTGACAGGCACTTTGGGACTTGGCACTTATCTAAAAGAGGGAAATTTATTTTATTATTATATTAATTATTATATTAGTGTGATGGTAATTGATGGATATTCAAATGTTGAACATCATTTGAAAAGATTTTGAAGGGAGTTAAAGAAACATTTTTGACACTGCATAAGTGCTGTATTTTTGTTTATTTTTTGTGCAATCACATATTTGAGATAAGTAAAATTAAGTTAAAAGTCCAGTAAATGCTGCAACAACAAAATAAACAATTCAGCAAATTTGAATGCCAGGTAAATTTTCTTCATATATTGATATAATTAGAGGCTGTTTGCTACTTCAGGTGTTGCTGACTGGTTGTCGCTGTGTAGAACTAGACTGCTGGGATGGAGATGATGGGTTTCCTGTCATCTACCATGGACACACACTCACCACAAAGATTCCATTTAAAAGTGTGGTAGAAGCCATCAACAAAAGTGCCTTTGTTGCATCTCCCTATCCAGTGATTCTGTCCATTGAGAACCATTGCTCTATTCCACAGCAACAAAAAATGGCTCACATCTTTCAGGTACATAAAGGGAGATGTGACTGTGTTATAAGCTGTGGTTATACACAACTGACTATTGGTTCCATGTAGCTGATTCTTGTCAACTGCTTTCAACAAGTTAACAGGTTTTGGCCCCATAAAAAAAGAAAAGGTTATAAAAAATTAATGCCTATTGATCTTACACAAATTTAAATCAGAAGAATTAAGTATTTTAAAATAGAATTGAATTAATATTTTATGTGTTCTATTTATTGCAGAATGTATTTGGTGACAAATTGGTTTCCAAGTACTTGTTTGAGCTTGACTTCACTGATGATCCCTATCTGCCCTCCCCCAACCAGCTCAAGTTCAAGATTCTAATCAAGAACAAGAAATTACGCTCAACACATAAGCCGCTGCTGAAGCAAAAGGTACAAGATGTTTGCAGTTAAGATTAAGAGTTTGCAGATAAATGTGATATAAAGCATTTTCAAACAATAAGTCATGTATAATATTATACTTTTGGTAAATTTTGATTTCATTGTAATACATTTCCCTACTAATAAGTGTAGGTCATCAGTAAGAGGTGCAGGCATGCAAATATTCATAATGTATGAACATGCTCATTATGTTTTTCCCCTTTTTTAATAAATTGTAAGAGCTCTGCTGCCAATCACATGAGAGCCCTTACCACACTGAGCACAGTCTCCAGTGAATCAGGCTCAGTCCAAGAAGACGATGATGATGATGATGACGATGATGATGATGAAGATCTTGGAGATGGTATGTTTATTAAGTAGAGATTCATGTACCCTTAAATAGATATTGAGTAAAATTCAATATTTGTGGAAATGCCATGATCCATTTTGTGTGTTTCTGCTATAAAAGATGACTGTATCAGGGGCGGATTCAGGCCGTCTTCTGGGTCTTCTGGAAGACGGTCAGATTTTCAAGATTACATTGACGGGTATTTAATTTTTTCTGTCGGAAGACGGTCAAAAATTAAGGATGGATCAACAAAGAAAATTTGGAAGACTGTCAGAATATATCTCTGGATCCGCCCCTGTGTATAAAACATTCATTTTTATGTTGGATATTCCCTCCTGGTGTTCATTTTAAAATTAAGAAAGGGAATCTGCCCCTTTCTGTATTTTAGATTTATATATATATGAATATACATGTTTGCAGACCTTTACATATTAGACAATGGTATCAAAGTAGGTACCCGGTATATTAGTCAAAAAAGAATATGCATAGACAATGGTCTTGCAACAGTGATTCTTGTCAAACAAACTGGCAACTACTCCATGATAAGACTTTTAGTGTGGATATTGGTCTCTCTTCAGATAAGGAGCTGGCCTTGCTCAGGACCTCCTTGGGTAGTCAGGATGACTCTGTGGAGTCAGAGGAGTCCAAGATGGAACACTCTAGGACTGGCAGTGACCCTGTTCCAGAAGGGAGGTTAGAATTCATCTAATACATAGTCATCTGCTCATAAATTTTCTTTTGCTTAAAACAAATGGGTATTTTTAATGGCTGATAAATCTGTTTCAATATATGCACAATAGTGTTTTCTTTAGCTATGTTTTAATGTCAGTTTAATTAGGTAGTGAATTAGTGTTTTATGGTTTTGTTTTAATGTCAGTTTAGTATGTAAGTTAGTGCTTTAGGGTTTTGATTTAATGCCAGTTTAATTAGTTTTGTAAATTAGTGTTCTAATAACCTTATGATATAATTTATTGCTTAATAATTATTTTTAGTTTAAAAAAACTTGTTTGCTTTGATTGTAGTTTGATGTTCAAAACATTTTTCTTTGTTATTATGCCACAATATCAGAGCGAGATCAAAAAGTGATGTTTTGTCTGATAGAATGAGACCCAAAAGCCAGTCAGACTTAGACTGGATATATGATGAAGAACTTCAGCTGGCTCTGAAAGCACCCAAAGTTAAACAGAAGAAGGCTAACCAGATTGCAAGAGAACTCTCAGATTTGGTGGTCTACACCCAGGCCATTAAATTTAAAGGTACACATTTTTTTTGTTCTACAGTACTTTACAATTTTTATGCAATTTTGTCACCATTTTGTTTAAATCTAAAAGTTATAATGTTTGGTACTGTACATAGAAGTTGATCACATTACCTTTTTGTATGTAAAGTCAGTCCCAAATATTTTTTTTACTATCAAAAGATGATAAAACCAATGACCTTATCTAAGTCATAGGTAATAGTCTCAATTTTCATCCCTGATATTTTGCCCCAAACCAAAATTATGATGTCATCATATTAGTCTAATTGATATAAAATGCACTGATTCATTGTTGGTAATTATTTTCTCATTGTTTAACATTTGGTTATCAATAAGATGTTTACTTCAGACTGTTATTGGCAAATCAATAGCCACATTCTAATAAATGATATATCCTAATAGGTTTGGCATTGAGTCCCTTGCCCACCATAAAGACAAAGAAAATAGTTGTGAAGAAGAACATCCTGGGGACTTCCCCTAGTGCTTCCACGGTGGCACCTGCTGCTGCTGCTACTCCTATAGGTTAGAACAAAATGATCTGTTTTGCTAATAGTTAAACAAGTGTTATAAGCCATCTGTTAAGATGTGATCAAATAAGTTTGCTTGTCTTTAATAAGAATTCTGATTTTTAAATACATCATCTTCAAAATATTTTTGAAATATTTCAGAGGAGAAAAGAGAAATCAACTTCACCTCCATCCCTGCTAAGACCAGGAACGGCCATGCATCATGCCACAGCATCTCTTCCATCAATGAGAACAAGGCCAAGCAGCTTTGCCGGAGAAATCCTGTACCTGTCATCAAATATCCTTTACAGATTTTTTCTTAAACTTTCACCAAAACCAATTTGCCAAAAACATAAAATAAAAAAATATAAATAATAGAATAAAAGTGAAAATTTTGCATACTTTTCTTTTTAAGAAAGTTATCATGGAGCAAAATGAATTTCACATGCATGCACTTTTTATATCAAAATTAATTAAAACTCAATTACCATGATGTTTATAGTGTTAGAAAAACTTTGTCATTATGGCACAACCTTTTAAAAATAGTACTAGACATGATATGTTAGCCTTAACATGTCTTACTCATACTGAAAAGCACCTCTTGCGTGTGTATCCCACTGGAGTGAGAATTGACTCTTCTAACTTCAATCCTGTTATATTCTGGGCTTTTGGTATACAGATGGCAGCACTAAACTACCAGACAGATGGTAGGACAGCATGTTTCCTGTATTTCATAATCATTGGCTATTTATTAAATAAATAATCATAATATTATTTTAAAAAATGGTAAAAAAGAGGATTGAGATGGTATCTTTTTACAGCTTTTTTGTGATTTGATGGAATTACTGAAACAAATTTCTGTTTTCAGACACTGCCATGCACCTGAATAGTGCCCTGTTTGAGCAGAACAACCGCAGTGGTTATGTTCTCAAGCCCCCGGTAATGTGGGATAAGACTCATGTCATGTACAACAGGTTTAACCCCTGGGATAGGGAGTTTGATGGACTGCATGCTACTGCCGTTACAATACATGTAAGGGACACGTAATACTGCAACTTTTATCTCTGATTTTGAATATAAGCATGATGTAAGATCTATTGCAAGATATAGAAGCAAAATTGCCTGAATGAATTACGATTGAGTGATTATGCATTAGACTGGCAATTGCTTTGTGCAGTTGTTATGATTTTAGAAAGGATTTTGATGTGGTAAAGGTACTTAAGGAGTCAATGCCTGATGTATTTGAGAAGAAATAATTATAATTCACATAAATCAGAAGTGTACATTGGTCGAACTTTTTATTGAGTGGCACCTAAACATAAAAAGTTTAAAAATTAGCCTTCTGCTGTGATATTTGTCTTTAGGTGATATCTGGTCAGTATGTCTGCCAAAATAACCTGAATGGAAGTCCAATGGTGGACATAGAAATTATTGGAATACCTGTAGACAGCACAAAGCAAAGAACAAAGGTGGTCTCAAGAAATGCACTCAATCCAATATGGTATGATGTCTTCTCATTCCAGGTAAGTGCTTGCTATTTATGCTATACATACACAGCCTTTGGAAAAAGTGTAGAGTTCCTAAGGTTAACAACATGTTTGAAAATCACAATAGTCATATGCTTTTATATTTTTCTATAAGTAGTATCCCTTTCTGGAATTGAATAAAACATTTTACCTTATTTGAATCAAGCCACTTTTTCTTGAAAGAAGGTGATGTGAAGTGAAGTTGCCTTTTTCAAATATTAATATTATTAAAGGAAGGGTCAACATAAAACTAAAATTTTTTGTATGCGTGACCAGTGAAAGTGAATTAATATTTGTCTGATATTAATTGATTGTGGGAGTGTAGAAACAGAGAAAGGATATCTCATGTACAGTCTGATGATAATGCTTCTATCCTATGTCTTAGGTGATGTTCAGAGATCTTGCATTTGTGCGGTTTACTGTGACAGATGTAACCAGTAACCACATTACAGCACAAAGAATCATTCCACTCAAGTGTCTGAAGCCTGGCTACAGACATGTCCGACTGCGCTCACCTACCAACCAACCTCTAGAGCTGGCCACTTTGTTTATATTCTCAAGACAGCAGGAAGGCTTTAGTGATTTCTCTGTAAATCTGGATAATCCCCAAGACTTCAGTGCCAGTAAAAGAAGATCTAATTTCTTTGGCAAAAACAAAGAAGGAGAAACATTGGCAAGAACTGAGGTAAATCTGCCTTATTGCAACAAATCTGTACACAAATCCTATTTTCTTTTGTCGTTTTAGTGCTCAGGGTTTTTTAGGGACAACTTTCTAGAATGAACCAGAACATGATATTTTCAAATATCTTGGTCCTAACACTCCTTTAACTTCTTGCATTTCAATATATCTGATGCTTTTTTTTTTTGAAAGACGGGTCCATGCAGTATTCCCATAGTGCGTGCTAAGAGGCGAATGTTCTTCATTAGTCTGTATGGAGTTGTCCCATCAGAAGAGTACACAATCCTCAAGGTCACACAGGATACCACTGTCTTTGAAACCATAACTCAGGTAAAATGTTGTACTCATTAACAAGCCCCAAACCTTTTTTGTGAAACATGCATTACTTAGGGTTAAATTTGCACTTCTGTTCTTCACTGTTTCATCTGACCATATGTCACCTTGATCCATAAAAGTTGTGTCCTGAACAGCCTCACTGTCATCAGAACATTAAGACCCATGGATCTGTATTCATATTTTCATGGTCTTAATTGAAATAGAAGTGCAATATAATATTACTTCCCTCTAAGCCTTGATCTGTGATACTTGGTATTAAATATGCATGAATTGTATATCTGTTTTATCTTTAACATTTATTTAGATAAAGATATATTACTTGGCCCTGATGAATAGAAACATATTGATATTGTGTTCTTGTTTATGTGCATTTTTAGGCTTTGGTAAAAGCTGGAAAGGTGGATGAAAGGGAAACAGACTTTGTAATAGTTGAAGAGGTTCAGAAGAGCTGGGATAAGAAGGATGCTGGAAAGGGTGGCCATCATCAAATCTTGGACATGCAGGACCCTATACTTCTGTGTATGAATAGTTGGAAGGGTCAAGGAAAACTTATACTGAAAAAGAAAACCGATGTAATGAATTTTATTTAGTATTGATCAACTTATCTAATAAACCATGATTAATCCTTCTTCAATATAGGAGTAGAATACCACTTTCTGTCATATTTTTAATACTTTTTCAAAAAAAAATTGATTTTAAAATACCCTACTATCTATATATCTACAAGGCCATGTTTTGATATTCATGTAATTGCTTCTGATTTTGGTTGATCTAGTAATTCCAAGATACAAGATGCACCTTTTTGGATATTTCTGTAATCAGCTACTTTCAGAATGTATTTTAATTATTCTAATTCTCTTTTATCTTCTCATTATTTTACGTTTATTATATGCTTATTACATTATCTTCAAGTCTAGCTGGCAGTTTTTAAATTTAATTTATCTGTTTAAGGGACCGTTCACATGAAAAATCTATTTTCTAAAAATCTAAAAATCTATTGGCGGTATCTTGTGATCACGGTCTGTGCCCTGAATGCCCCGCGGCGTAATTACTGACAGCGCGAGCAAGTTACTTCCAAAGCTGTAATTAATTCTTGGCTGCGCTCAGAGGAGATTCTCATACCTTGACGCATGCGCAGTAGGAAGTTAGAAAGTAAATGGTGGTAGCAGTTGCTTTGAAAAATGTGTTTGTCGATTTTGTGCAACAACAAGCACTACCATTAGCCATATTACATGACTGTATGCTTGAGTCGTCACAACTAAATTGATGAAATCCACAGCTTAGAGATACTACTGCGTATGCGTCAAGGTGTCAGAATCTCCTCCGAGTGCAGCCGAGAATTAATTACAGCTTAAGAAGTTACTGGCTCGCGCTGCCAGTAATTATGCCGTGGGGTATTCAGGGCACAGACCGTGATCACAAGATACTGCCAATAGATTTTTAGAAAATAGATTTTTCATGTGAACAGTCCCTAAGTCTCTTTTATGTTTAGATGAATTAGATGAGATACAGTTGTCTTATTTTTATAGGACCCAAGTACAAGAGCATGGATCTCTACAATAATGGCCACAGATCAGAAGGTAATTTCTTAATGTGGTAGTGCTGATATTGTCACTGAGAGAGAGAGAGAGAGAGAGAGAAAGAGAGAGATCATGAATCCTGGTTTGTTACACTTAATTTTTTTTTTTTCTTGATATGTAATTACAATTGTCGTGTTTTGGCTAACATGAAGCAATTGCCAGTGCATCTTTAAAGCACCGTTAAGAAATTTACCTGTTTGTGCTACTGTACCACAATGCTTCATGTTACATGCATTGTGTCTTATGTACTGATACTGTCTGTCTGTTTTATTTAGAGACGTCAGAGATCTCTGGACACGGACAGTACAGACTGGGAGACAGATGAACAGATGTTTCATGTTTGTGTCTACAATGTGTCCTCTGATCAGCCATACACCATCTTCAAAGCACCTGTCACCAGCACTGCACAGGACATTATTACACAGGTGAGCTTATGATGGGAAATATTTGTGAGGATGACATGTGCATACATAAACTTTAAGTCATTTGGTAGCAATCTGCAAACATCGATTGATCTGCAAATAGAAGTGCCAAATTTATATCAGAATGCAATTTTTGTCTTGTGGTGGTACCTATACTATTCTTGTAAAAATATAGTGTTTCAAATCTTTGGCACAAAACTTAACTTTTGTACTTTATTGCAAATGTGAAGGAGATCTTTAACTATAGAAGCATAATTATTGCAATTACTTCTCTGTGCTGTTAGTTTATACTCCATGTTGAAATGTGGTGTTTATTTTAGTCATTATTTTTACAAAAAAAAATTTCTTTGTGATAACTTAGTGTTAAAAATGTCATTAGCAGTAGTTCTTCTAAATTCATAACATGTTCTTAATTCCTTTAAACAATACATTCCTTTTAACAATAACGTAACACATTAAGTCATAATTGCTTGTTAATTATTTACACTAATTGACTTCATGTGCATTATGAGAAATCTAACTTTATCCTTAGGCTCTACTCCGAGCAAGACGAGCAGACGATCCAAAGAAGTATGTATTACTAGAGGAGCTTTGTACAAGTGGTGGATCTGCAGAAAGTCCTAGCCAGTCAGGGCGCAGGAGAAGCAGCTTGCGCAGACGCTTCCTTTTAGACATGGAGAATGTTTACCAGGCTCAGAGTGAATGGAAGGCAACAGGAAGGTTCATACTCACTGACAGGCCTACCACACAGAATGAGGTATTTCTTAATCAGGTCCCAAACCTGTCTAACTTCCTCTAGATTAAATTTAGAAATTCAATCAAACTTTTTTGCATAAATCTAAATAATGTACCAAAAGACAGTGTACATCATCTTTATATGGGCATTCTAAGGAATTCCTTTTTCTAGGCTGTATCTCACAATATGCATTGGTTTTAAATGTCAGTGGTTGAAATATGCATTATTTTAAAATTATTTTTATCGTGCTTGCAGAAGAAGAGGGTTGGGAATAGTTTTACCAAAGCATCTGCCTCCTTTGTGAACAGATTCAATGTTTTCAAGGCCAAATCCAAAAGTGTCACCACTGACTCCAAGGGATTGGAAGGTGTGTGTGTGTGTGTGTGTGTGTGTGTGTGTGTGATAGATTATTAAGGCTGCATTGAAGATTAGAAAGAAAATTGAATATTTTCTTACAGTACTTGGTAATATGTGATTTGACCATTGTAACAGATGATCTGCAGACTAACTGATCTGCAGACTAATTATGGCCAACCCCACTTAAAACCAATGCCACCTAATCAACCTATATGGTCTCCTTGACTCCTCATGCACCATCCCTGCAGCAGGGGCCTAGCAATTATACATTAAATCTCAGCTACAAGGTTTAATTGCTAGGTCATTGCAGGGATGACTCATTTGGAGGTGGAGAGACCCTCAGGGGATTAGGCGGCATTGCTTTTAAGTGGGGTCAGCCATATTTTGTCCATGGATCAGTTAGCCCGAGGATCATTTATTGTGAATACTACCATAGATGCACCTTCTACCTACTTTATTGATTACACTGTTTTCAGTAGCACTATCTTAAGCCTGAGGAAGGGCAGAAAGAAGGATTCTAGAGCTGTAGTTTTGGCTTGGAAAAGGCCCACTCAGAGTCAATAATTTTATGCCATTAAAAATATACTCTTTATAACTTCATTTTGAAATGGCTGGCTACAGCCCTGCTTATCAATTGTTAATATAGGAGTAATGATTTATATCCATATCTTTCAGAATCGGCCAGGTCTAAAAGCTACCCGCAGGTAAAGGCAGAGCTTATTCCAAGTCCAGAAGGGGAGGGAGATGATGTGTTTGACAAAAAAAATATGGGTAAAGAGGAAGCAGCAATGGCCACAACTTGCTCTCCTAAACCTTTGCCAAAGTTTATGAAACTGTCTCATCGCTGGAAGCCAAATACATAGTCCTCTGGTAATGCCACAATGCTTATTCAGAGGCTATAGTTTAGAACTGCTTTCTGTACCTCAGTCCATTATGAAATACTCTGCTGAAATAGCTCAGCAAACTTACAATTATGGACAAAAATATGACATTGTTCATATAGAAATTTCTTTTCTCATGTTTTAACTGTGCTATATATAATAATAGGCACAGATTATGGGTGCTGCTATAGAAAATAATGGTACTTATTAACTTGAATCCAGTTATTATAGCACAAAGTCTAATAAGGTTTTTATTATTATTATTATTATTATTGGTCTCAGATTGGTGCCAAAGTTAAGTTCAAATTTATTCATCTGGAGGCCCAATATTTTAAAAGTCCAGCATTGGTTTTATCAATTACTGTGTTTTGAAACAAAACTTTACCCTGTGTATGCCTTTTTATATATACAGTTTCTGTCCAGCCCAATCAACATAGAGACTTATAAGCATAAGCAGTGTTAATAAACTTGATAATTATATTTGTCAGTTTGTTTGGAATTTTAACAAGCAATGTAGAGGAATATAAAATTATGGCCTAGGTATTCCAAACATTTAAATTTTTAATTTGAAATGAAAAATGTGACAACCAGTGTATATTGTATGTGAACTTCGAACTGTAATTATTATCTCATTTCTTTATAAACATTAAGGTTTATGTATTTAAAAAATGACAAAATATCCTCATGTCTAAATCATAATAAATATTTTTATTGGATTTTGAAGCAGCAGTGTAGACAGGACTGATTTTCAAGACTTTTGTAAAATTTCTACTTGTATGTTTAAATTTTCATCAAAGCGTACTACTATTAAATATTTTGGCAGATGACTCTCCTTAAAAGTATGCTTCAATTGATGATTTTCTTACCTTTTTATTGGCATTTTGTTTATGTTAAGTACAGCTGAATAACAGTAAGTTTATTTTGTTGACTAAAGTCTGTTTTCTTTCATTAATTAGTAAATTGTATATTTTGCTCATGCCAGTTTGAATCAAGTATCAATACTGCAAAGAACAACATGAGATCAAAAAATAAGCAATATTATCAGTATAGGGCTAACTGCATTCCAGTTTTTTGTGTAAAATTAAAAAAAGCCATTCCAGCATTCTCTGTCAGAATAAAGTCAACTTCATACTGACGATCAAAGCCATGCAAGCATTTGTTGATAATTATTTGTAAAGGGCACCAAAAAATTGTAATCAGTATTCATTATTTCAGGTTACCAGTTTAGTTACATTCTACGTAAGTTTACTATATATAGATTTGCCTCTTTTGTGTTAAATCCATACCTTATTTTCTTTAGGACTGATGAAATCCACGTTATTACAAATTGAAAAAAGGTTAAAGATATGATTCTGAGGAGAGAACTTAATTAGCAAGCCTATTTAATGGGTTTTGTTATACAGGAAGTAAGATATGTTACTCTAAATCTTAGGGAACTTTTTTCCATTGTTAGTATTTCACTAGGAAGATGTTTTTTCTGTATGATTTTTGGTGAAATTAACTGTTGACCAATTAGCCAGCTAACACTTCTGAACCTAGGGAATGGTGCTTCAATAACTTTGTTTTATGTGGTGCAATTGTTTGTGAATATTTATTTAAAGAATACATATCACCATTTGAGGGAATTGCCCTCTGAATTGTTGCAAGAGTAGATAAATCTGTATCAGTAAAAGGATACTGTAGATATTGTAATCCTCATGTATATTGCTGACATATTCTAACAAACAGTGGGAAAAATAGAAAAAAAAAATCCTGCATTTAGTAAATGTAGTACCTGTATTTACATTGAGAATTGTACATCAACCTAGACAAGATGTAGTTTCTGCTGGACCAGCAAACCACATTGATACCAATCCTAGTGAGTCGTAAACCCTAGGTACCACAAATTAATAGACTTATTGCCTAATGTATTTGCATATTGTGCCAAACAGTAGACCACCACTCATGTCATTCATGTATTTTAAGCTTCCTTTATGTTTATGGAGACACAATTGTGTCCAGACTCTTGTCTTGGTGATTTGATTAATTCAGAAATTGCTATGATAATCACTTCTATGTAGCTTTAAAATTTTGAAGCATTTGAATTATCCCATTATAGTGCAAAGTTTGCTTGGGACCATGTGTTTAATTGCCAGTGTATCATAGCAACTCATCTAGAACTTGAAATGAAGTTGGGAAATTAGGATGCTTCTGACATTTCCATTTTATATTCATTGTTCATGATCCTTTTGTTTGATATGTGAAAATCTAGTACTTAGCATTCTGTATTACAAGAAATGCCTGTCATATATTTAATAACATATTTAACTTATTCAAAGAAAATTCTTAATTATTACTGTTAATTATTACTCATTACTGTTTGCTACTAACGAGTATAATTTCGCAGATGAATAGCATTAAGTGAAATGTGGTTTATGTGGGGCCATGGAGCATTAAAATTTCCTAGAATCAATAACTTAAATTCTGTGGAATTGTAGTTTCCCTGATGGCCATGGGTACGTAAATGTAAATTTTAAATCAAAACAATAAAATGATATTTATGTTTATTCTTATTTAGTTGTTTATTAATTTGGCAGAGAAAATAATGGGATTTTGGAGAATTAATTAGTGAGAGAATGCTGGGCATGCTCTTTATGTCTTAAAAGATGTTTAAGAGGACCCACTTTCTAAAGCCTATGAATGAATAAAATGAAAATATGGGTGAAATGCAGTCATTTGCAGAAGCTTTTTGCACATATAGGCCACTGTTTAACATCACTGGTGTAAGTCTCTGCTTACAGCAGTGTACTAATTTAAAGACCATTGTCATCTTTTCTGTAATACATATAACAATGGAATGGACGGAGATCTACACTAGAAGTTATCATAAGATGATTTTGTTTATTTTTTTGCCCAAGAAAGCAATGCTTCTTTTAAATGCTGCCCTGCCCCCAGTTTTATAAAATAAAATAATAGTAATTAATGAAAATGACGAAGCCCAATTGTGTCTGGAATAGAATTAAACAAATAAACTTATTAGTAAGTTTACATTAAAAAGTCCTCAAAGAAGTTACATTATCACCACCCTTTATGAGCCTATATGTGCCAAATCAAATTTTTTGGATGCAAAACTTAACACAAATGCGTTTGCAAAACGTATAAGATAAATGACATATTTAAGTCTCATGCTAATCAATCACAAACATTCTATTATTTTGTTAAAAGAAAAGAAAAGAAAAAATTCGTCTAAAAAACTTTATTTTTTAAAAATTGTTAACCTTAACACGATCTACAGCGCGTACTTTACCAACACGAGTTTGGCTTATCTTGTTTAAACTTCCGCCTATTGGTAAAGGCTATCCATATAAAGGTCAAGGACGAAGGTTTGTAAAGACACAAAAAGACAAAAATGTGGCTAAATTGACTCATAAATGATTCAAAATCAATTGTAAAGTGTACACATTTACTACAATACATTTTCTAGTGCACTGGGTATTAAATTTTGACACAGTCCTAATAAAATGTTTATATCGCATTCTCGTAGAAACACATGACGTCACGAGAAAAACAGAACCAAATATTTGACTGCCAAAGCCGATGGTTTGCAAGTTGTAAGTGCAATACCTGTAAATAATGTCAGATTCGGAGGACGAAAGTATCGACAAGCAGTTGAAGATTGTTATAATTGGGGATGGTGCGTCAGGGAAGGTACGAAAGAACAATGTTATGTCAAAAACATTCATGAGCCGACTAACGATGTCACCAATGCAATGAATTAATGACAGTCAAGTACAATCTATCACTAGTATTCTAAACTGATCCTTATCCGTCATAACTTTGTTTTTTTATGAACATACAATGAACAACATACTATTGGATCTACATAAAGTCTCATGGAGAGAATGAAGTGACAACGACAGTGGAGTTCTACTATGAATTAAAAAAGACAATAATGAATTGGCTCTTTTTATAATGATTAGAAGTTTATATGATACTGTGAAATTGCTACTTGATATTGTGACTAAACTAACAGGATATTTCAGAAATGTGTAAATTTGGAATTTGGTAAATAATTCTTCAAAAGTTTGGATTAAAAAATAAATGTGAGGCATGATATTTACTAGCTTATACTTAATTCAGTCCATTGGTCTCACAAAATGTTCCTTGTACTTCCTGTTTAGATTTAAGTACTATACATAATATTTTTTCTTCAATTATTAGACTTCCCTAACCACAAGGTATGCACAAGAACAGTTTGGAAAACAATACAAACAGACAGTTGGGATTGATTTTTTTCTGAGAAGAATAGTTCTACCAGGTAAGCATACTAGAACTGACATTGTGAATGAGTCTGAACATGAAAAAGATTGTAGAATATTGAAATCAAAGCTCTTTTGTCACAAACTTAGAAAAAAATGTCAATCACATGAAATATTTCAATGTGCCATATTCATCAGTCTCAGAGTGACACAGATGACGTTGTGTCACTAGTCTATATAGAGGGGAACAGCTCCAATTACTGGGATACTAGACTGATAGATAAAGCCACTGTCACTTCGATTCAATTCCACGTTAGATTCTAAGTTTGTGGCAAAAGAACTTTTGAACTCTAATATCTACCAACTGATGGAACTTTTAAAACTTTTTAAAAAACATTATAGAATCTTAATTTTGATCTTGGTCGTCTGTAAATTTCTGAACCCTTCCCAGTAGACTCAAAATTAATTTACCTTTAACCATGACACACAATATTATTTTCTAGGTAATGTAAATGTAGCATTGCAAGTATGGGATATTGGAGGACAAACTTTAGGAGGAGGCATGCTGGACAAATATCTATACGGAGCTCATGTAAGAATAGCTGTTTGAAAGCATACTTATGAATGTTGATAATGTTAAAAGTAGCAAGGCCTGTGCTAAAAGATATGAATTTATTACTGTTTAAGATACCAGTGTCTATAATCTAAAAAAATGTCAGTAAAAATGTCAAGAGATAACAATTTTTACTATCTGATATTGTTTCAAACACTATCTTCACTAGTATTTTGTTGTAGATATTGAACTTGCAGGCCATTTGAGGTGCCAATTATCCAAATTTTATATTTATTAGTGTAAGTGTAAAGGTAATTTTCCTTGCATGTTAGTTGAGAACCCCTTGTTTGCGTCATATTGAATAATGTTAAGCAAAATCTCACCAACTACACATTAATGTGTGAATATCAGGTGTCACGCTTGATAATGTCATAAGATCTTTTTTCCATCTTCAGGGTGTATTACTAGTATATGATATAACAAATTACTCCAGTTTTGAAAATTTGGAAGACTGGCTGGTTGTTGTAAGGAGGGTATTTGAAAATGAAGGGAAAATGCCCCATAGAGCTTTAGTAGGCAACAAAGGTAAGTAGAAGGCCCATTAGTTTTCCGAATAAATAACTGAACAGCTTCAGAAGCTGTTCAGTAATTTATTTGGAAACAGAATTAGCCAGCCAGCCTTGTAGCCGTGTTTTGCACGGCCATTTTTCATGAGACACATTTAGTTTTTCAAATCACGGCCCATGATGAAGCCGTGTATTTTCAATACATTCTATATTCACGATAAATAATACATAATATTGTGTTTAAAACCCAGAAAAAGATCGTTTCCTGGGTAAACAAAAACAATAAAAGTAGCTCATCAACGTATGCCACCCGGAGTCTCTGTTGCTACATGTGCGTTGAATAAAAGTATGTCAACTTGCCACCGATAGTACACTAAAAGTACAATGCTGCCATCAGCACAAAACGTGGTTTTCAAAGCCAATTTCAATATTTTATTGTGTTTTAAGACCCAAATGAAAATGGTTTGACCTTAAAACAGTTTAGTCGACAAACTGGTGACAGAGATTACTCTAAATGGTTAAAATATGTTAAACTACGTGTATAAAATCAAAGGTAATTAAATTTGTCTAGATATTGTGTTTTTGTTATGTTTAATAGTCAAAACATAATTTTTCCAGATTGGAATATAATTTGTAATTGCCATTACAATTATTCATTGAAATTATTAAATTTGATAAAATTTTCTGGGGGGTCACAATTATACGGCCAAATTTTGTTAAATTTAATAACCAAATGTCACTAGAATGCACCAAATGGCTCCTAAAAATCCAAATTTTCTTGGAGGAGGACCCCCTCCCGGGCCTCTGGCTGCGTCTCGGTCCGTTGGACCTCATGGCTATTACACTCCCAGATTTTATAATTACACTTCCAGTCAGTCCATTCCTGGCTAATTCTCTGTTTGGAAAACTAATGGGGGTATCTTATGTATCATTCACACAGTCATTATAGTCACACCTCTTACGAAAACTGAGGCCTGACTTCAGCACACGTGCCGGGATGACTTTTTTAGACTTGAGTTCCAGTATTGATAGATTGACTTGCATTTTTATGCTTATGTCGTTGATTTGTCAGATTTATCAATATTGATATATTATTAATAAGTGTTGGTTGATGTAGTTTGATTTTTTGTCTGTAGCTAGAGGAATCAGTGCAGAAACTTCAATTGGTTTTTATGTTTGTTTGTTTTTTTTTCATTTTCAGTTGACTTAGAACATATGAGAACTGTAAAATTAGACAAGCATCAAAAGTTTGCCCAAGAAAATGGAATGTCAAGTCATTTTGTGTCTGCAAAAACTGGAGATTCTGTAAGTAAAATTTAATTTTAATATTTTTGCTGTTATTTGCTTTTATTGTGTAGATTTTTCAATGATAATCTTTAATTTTCAATAATGCCTCATTTTACATGTTATATCCTTTATGTAGAAAAAATTAAAACAGTATTTGACTAGACACTTAAACTCGAGAGAATAGAGTTTTTTCAATCAGTTTTAAAGATAATGAGAATTTGGCTGAAGAATGTATGTAATGCATTTGATTTTTTTATTCAATGAATCATTGGTTGGAAAAAAGTTTGATTTTTAGTCTATTTTCGTTGTTATGTTTGAAGGATTACTAAAATTATACAAATTGCCTTTTAATGTACATATTTGGAATTTACCCCACACCTTTTTTCTTATCACAATTAAAGGCAGGCCCGTAGCCAGGAGGAGTCCGAGGGGTTCAAAAGAACCCCTCTTTTAAAGGCCCCCCCCTTTTTGCTGGGCAAAGGGTCCCCTCTGGGTAAAATTTTATCTATGTATATGAAGGTTTCATGGTAAAAGGTCCACTTTTTCAGAAAAAGAACTCCCGTTTGAAATTGCTAGCTACGGGCCTGAAAGGTATACTATATGCATTTCAGAATGTGAAAAATACATTGCAAAGCAACTTACCTTTTCCAATTCTGACCTTAGAAACAGTAAAACCCCTCAAACTAAAATACCTGATGTACTTTATGGTCATGAATATGTGTTTTAATATTTCTTTCTAAAATATCAGGAAGACGTGGCAGTCTAAATGAATCATGTTTCATTTAGAACTGAGCTTTTTAAAGTGATTTGGTTTGAAAATCCAGTATAGTAAACCTTAATGTTGAGAGATTTCTCTGCATTTCAGGTCATTTAAAATATCATTTTTCAGGTAGAAATATCAAAAAGGTAGAAATATCATAATTACAAAGGGTAAAATTGCCTTGCACAGACTCTGAAAAAATCGAAACAATGAAGGTCCTTTACACTGTTAAGATAACATTCATTGCCAAACAGATAATGTTTGCTTACAGTTCAATAGCTTACTAAAGAAACATTTGATTTGGGCACTATGACTTCTGACTATATCAACAAAGTAATAGAAAAAGAGCACATAAATTTTAACAGTATGTCCACAAGATGTAGTCCATGAGTGTGTGCTTGGCTTGACATTGGGGTAGTAGAAATTGGCTGCTCAACTTCAATGGGACTGGATGTTCTAGGTAGTGGTTGATTTACTTTTGAACTAATGTCAATGTCTGGTTGAGCTGTAGTTTCTTCAGATTTTGGCAAAGGTGGCTGTTCAACTTCAATGGGACTGGATGTTCTAGTTAGTGGTTGATTTACTTCTGAACTACCGTCATTGTCTGGTTGAGCTGTAGTTTCTTCAGATTTTGGCAAAGGTGGCCAGTGCACTTCACTTGGAGTGTTTCTAAGCATGCTGGAAACACTTGCCAGAGAGCCATTATTGGCTGCAGGCTGTACATTCAGCAACTGACACATGAGTGGGTAGATATCCACTTGTTTGAATGGGTTCACAGTAATTCCTTCTTTGAAGTTGGGCCCCATGGCCATGAATATGGGTTTCATAGACATATACCTGTTGTCGTAACCATGGGTACCATTGCCTGGGAACATGAAACTCTGGTTCTGGAAAGGTCGAATGTTGTTTTAGAAATTTTGATCAGAGCAGACTATAATTTTACAATAAAATGGTTCTATGGTAGTTAGATAGCCTCTGTTATTATTTAATATAAATATAAATTATACTTACAAATATGAATTATATTTATATTGTAACACAAATGTTTTACAGTAGAAAGTAAAAGAAAAATCACTGATGATACCAGACTATATTCTTTATCAGCATTGTAAATTAGAACTGAAGAGTGTTAAGGACATCATAGTTTGACCTACCCATCTGATGACCCATCCTTCATCTGCTATTGCTAGGATAGGCATAACTCTCCTATTGTTTTTATAATGAAAGATGTCTGGAATGTCTTCCTTCAAGTACACAGTCATATTAGGGTGGGCATCCTTCAGCTGATTATACAACCTCTGTTTAGCATCCTGGTCTTTTTTGTTGGGTAGAATATTACATATAGGACCATGGTCTGGCACTCTCTCAACATCAGAGACGGTGACATAGTCTGTAAGTGTTATAATCTTGTCTTGACTCATCTTAGTCATCCCATGGTCACTGGTAATTATGATATTAACCACTTCCAGTAGATTATTGGCTCTCAGTTTGTTTAGAAGATATCCTATAAGCCTGTCAACATCCTTGACTGCCTGTTCCACCTCAGCTGAGTCTGGACCATGTTGGTGACCACTAAAATCTGGTTCATGGTAGTACATGGCAACAAAATTAAAAGATGTTGGTTTGTCTTGAATTTTGTCTTCTCCTTTAAACCAGCTCACCATTTTGTTCACTCTGTCCTCATATGGGGTGTTTTGGTTGTAGTTGAACCACATGTTAGCATTTTCATTTTGAATGCTGACATCACTGCCAGGCCAGAAGTAAGTACCACTCACTTTGTGCTGCTTCTTTACTGTCAGCCATATTGGTTCTCCACCCCACCACCGCCCCTCCTTGCCTGTTCTTGCCTTGATAGAAAATACTTCATCAAATATTGGATCATACATTGTGTTGCCAATAATGCCATGACTTTCCTCATATAACCCTAAAAAATAGTTATAAACAGCACAATGGTTGGTGTCTTTGAAATAATTTATTAAGTTTTGTAAAACGTAAACGCATTATGGTTCGTATTTATTTCAGAAATTTTGCAGAAAAACGTTACATGTACAGACTAAAGTAGGTATGAAAATTCTGACCATAATGACCAATATGCAACACTTACAGACTATGTTTCAAATCTTGAATTAGATGGAAGTTTGTTTTTTTTTTATTGTAAACAAGTTTCCATACAAGAAAGAAACCTTTATAAAATTTTATATTTCAAATGTTTTTATTTTCTTACCTGTTGCTATAGTATAGTGGCTGGGAAATGTTTTAGTAATAAAAGTCCCATTGATGTAAGGAGCCTTTGCCCCACACCCTGCAATGTAGTCCAAGAAGGGCGTTTCCACTTTGTCCAGATAGTCCCAACGAAAACCATCAAAAGAGAGGAGAAGGAGTTTTTCTGTGTATTCAGCTCGTGCCAATCTCATCTCAGAATATAGAAAAATTATAAAGATGACAATATTTGCAGTTAGGTAAACATCCATAATTTCTATGTTGGTTCTCAATCTGCCTCACCCTAGCAGTATAGTGGATTGAAAAAAGGTTCAGTACTAGTATTTTCAGGCTAAGTATTACCATCTGGAAGGAAGGCACTTGTGCTTACTTTGCTAAAGTGTATTCTGGCTGCAGTGCGATGCATATCAGTGTGCCTGTTAGAGGCTACAGCAGTGATAAAACCAAGACTTGAGGTCTAAGCAAAGCAATTCATACTGTCCAGGGGGCCCTGGCTGGTTTATGTTTAGCCCTGACCATGGTTGTATGAGACTGGTACTCACATCTGCCAGTAGTTTATGAGAAGATTATATGGATGACTTGGCAGCAAATACATAATACAGGAAATCTTTGCACTGTCATGTTGTCATAATGGCATATGGGATATAACAATAATAATAATAATAAAAATCTTGAGCACTAAAATGTGTACATGTTACATTTTACAGGCTCTCTACACTAGTCATAACAATTTTACAACAACTATACAAATCTATACAAATACTTACGGAATGATTACTGGGAAGCAGCACAGAGTAAAACGACTATTGCTATTGATGGGTGTGTCGTTTTATACTACTTCTATCTGTTTTATCAATTAGTAGGATGTGGTGAAGTCTGGTGCCTTTTCTAAGTCATTTGCTCAGTCACTGTGCTTAATCTTTTGCAGAGGGCAAACACCACTTTTGCATTGCAGACATACATTTTTTTTTTTTCGGAAATCTGCATCTTTATTAATGCACTGTTTTATACAAGAATTAAGATAATCATTACCTTATGACTGTTAAAAATATTTTTGTTGACATCAAGTTACACCTTATACTGAATACATATTGGTTGCATATTTTGTTATATTTAGTCAATACCTTCAGGTAATATTATGATTGTAATAAATAGATAAGATCACAATTTTGCTATTTTGTAGGTAAATCTGTTTATTGGTGATTGAAAATGCTTTTGTTACAAAGTATTCGTTATCACAGGTAGCATGCATGCAAAAGCAAATGAAAATTAAGATGTGTTGACAATAGCATGAAAATATTGAATCATAATTTCCTTAAAGAATGCTGCTATATTTATTTTTTACTGAAAGATAAAATGATTTTTATTCTTTATATTCTGCTAACACGATCTTTGTCTAAAGTTAAAAACTTTGTCATTTACTACTATCAAACTACTTGTAATTGATGGAAATTTCACGTAGAATAGAACTTCAAATTGGTTGCTGGTCAGGGATTATTCTTATGTTTAACCATGCTGACAAGTATTAAAGATAGAATCCACAATCCATTCCCTTGTATGCCAGCAGCTTTGCTGGTAGGACAGGTCTTCATTGTTGGTGCATTGGGGTCCACTGGTGTTGTATTCTGCAGGAAACCCTGTACAGAACTCAGGCTGCCATTATTTGGTGCAGGGGGAACTGCAAGTAGTTCACATATCAGTGGATAGATGTCGACACTGTTGAATGGCTGTGCAGTGTAGTTGTGCTTGAAGTTAGGACCTCTGGCCAAAAAGATGGGCTTCATTGACATCAGCTCATTGCTCCATCCATGTGTTGCTAGAGCATTCCAAGGACGCTTTGGATTCTGAAATTGAAGAGCAGATAAGAAGTTTGAAGAAAGATTCTTCCATAATGTAGTACTTCAGCAGATTTAAGTATTTATGTACATTTTATTCAACTTAACCAAGCCATAGAAAAGAAAATTAACTTAAATTTATATCATTACCATAACAATAAAGAAATGATGTTAAGTTGATTTTCTTTTCTATGGCTTGGTCCAAGCTGTTGACTTTTTTGTTTTTCAGGAAAAAAATCACCTTCACTATTCACTTGATATTATGTTATGGTGGCTTAAAATGTGATATTAAAAAAACATTTGGGTCTAAACATAAGGATCCTACACAAATTACAAGCCCAGACATATCTTGTGGGTCACTAGCTAGTAGGGTACAAAATAGAATAGGAAATTAAAGATTGGTTGTTTGGATCAAATCCTTAAAAAAAGCTTACATAAACACACTCCCATGGTAGGTCCATGATGACAAGTATTGGCATGATGCGGCGGTGGTTCTTGTAGTGGTATGATTCGGGGATATCACGCTTTAGATATACTGTCATGTTGGGGTGAACATCTTTGAGGACATTGTACAGCTCCTGTGTCTTGCCATCCTGAGGAAGTATTGTACAGACAGGCCCTATATTGACCACATCCCTGACCAGTGTGGCATTAGCATATTGGCCAATATTGATGATCTTATCAGGATCTCTCTCCGCCATGCCATGGTCACTGGTCAGTATGACATTAACCTGGTTGGTCAGTCCATTGCTTTGTAACTGGTCCATGATATAACCAAGCAATTTATCCATATCCTTGATTATGTCCAGGAGTTTTGTGGAATTTGTTCCAGAATAATGTCCAGTGTGATCTGGTTCATTGAAGTACAAGGTCACCATGTCAATGTTTTTACAGGTCAACCAGTCCACCACAGTTGTAACCCTACTCTTAAAAGGAACTTTGGAATCATAAGCCTTGAAAAAGTTAGGTCTGAGACCTTGCACTTCTGCTTCACTCCCAGGCCAGAAGAATGTGGCACTTGTAAGATTGTTCTTCCTTGCAGTGATCCAGATGGGTTCTCCATCGTTCCACCACCTTGTCTCTTTAGATGACATGTAAAAATATTTACCGAACTCTGGGTCGTACATCTTGTTACCAACAATGCCATGGCTTTCATCATACAAACCTAAAAAAAATACAAAAAAATATCATGAATAATGTATACATATTTGATAGAAGATGTTCAATTGTATTACACTCATTGTATTCTTATACTCACTTACATAAAGAGAGAAGCTGATAAATTCTTAGCCATAAATAATAGGTAGATATGAAGTTATCTATGATATTGAAAAATGACCTTTTTTTTCAAATTAGAATTATTCAAATATAAGAAAAATCAGAAAATTTAACCAATATAGTTTGAAAAGAATTAAGTTTTATATTTGTCCATTTTGAATAGCCTTACCTGTTGCAATGCTGTAATGACTAGGAAAGGTATTAGGGACAAAGGGGACATTGATATAAGGTGCCTTGACTCCTTCTCTGGCCATCTTGTCAAAGTTTGGGGTATCCACCATGTTCAGGTAATCCCAGCGAAATCCATCCATGGAGATGAGCAGAACTTTCTTAGTGTAATCCTTTTGAAGTGCCACCAACATAGGCAAGGTAAGGAATAAAAGAGTATGGAAACTTGCTGATGCCATGGCGGGGGACCGTTTTCTAACTGGCTTGTAATTCTTGAATATAGGGACTTGCCAAAGTGTCTTTGTTATCTGATAAAAGAAGATGGAGTGCTTTGTAAATATCATTACAGAGCTTTATTACTCACTGATGTCATCAGCAATGTTTGAGGTGTTTTATCTTCTCTAAGGCAGCCTTAACAAACCATAGTTTCTATGTTGTCTAGTTGTTCTATTTTATCAGTTTAAGCAAGTAGCATAATACATGTTACTTTGAGTTGAGTAAACAATTTAATTTATTTACCTAATATTTACACTGCTCACAATAGCATAGTATACCGGCAAAGGCAAAGTATACCGTCCTGTATGTCCACCAGGGGAGTGGCATTGCATTACTTGTTATGTACAAAGGAAAATTGTTAATGTATCCCACCCAAAAAGAATAATTTCCAATAGCAGACACTGATCACCACATATAGTGTGATATAAAAAAAGGTGTTTACACATTTATGCCAGTAGTTTCTGTTCTGATGAGACCACCTTTCAATCATATTCTTCTGTGTGAATGGTTTTTGATTCGAGTGTATTGTTGAGATGTCGGATAATGAAGTTCCGCGACTAGTTGGCTGATTCCCTGTCCATCGTTTCCCTGTCCATAGTTTCCAGCAGTTCAAAGTTGTGTTACATGAATCTTAATTTCATACCTTAGACTGATATTAAACATTGTTAAGCGATATGTAACTTTCCCATGGTACACAATCTACCAGTAGTTAAACCCTTGTAAATAATATTTAGTCTGCCACATGTAGGTAACACGTGAATCAAATGTCTAATCTGTTTGATATGCATGTGAAGTAGATCTTCCACTTGTGACTTCACAGTGCAGATGTGATGGATGTTGTGTATAGTTGCAGTTGATTGCACATGGGTGTCATGTTTGTATTATACATCATTTGTGCTAAAAACCATACTAAGTTTATAAAAATTGTTTTGTCACAACTTTCTGCTTATGGCAAAAGTATATTCTCTTCATGATCACTTACACCTACTCTTCCAGAGCACATGATCAGGGCAATCATGAACCCTGCTAATCAAGATTTAGCACATCAAGGACTTACCAAATATTCATTTACAGTTTTAAAATATATTTGATATTGAACATGATAGTTTTCTTTGTGAAAACTTCCTTTCAATTAATCTCAGTATAAAGGTAGAGAGCAAACAAACAGAAAAAATATTTACCTTGTAGAGCCTACCTTATTCCCTCTTTATTGTCATGTAATGTTAAAACTATATCTGTGTATGGGAAAAACACAGATGTTTACTCATAAGGCTTGGTTGTACACACAAGATAATATATTTGTTGTTATGCATAAACCAGTGATTAAGTTGATATTTATCATCAGTAGGTCAGTTGCGTGTACAGGACGTGGTTAGTCTTGGTATTTTTATGTACAGAACAGATTTAAGTTATGAACATACTTTATGAACATACTTTTATTTTGTGTGGTGCTTGAGGAATCATTTGTTGAATTATTTCAATTTGTTTTTATGATGATATTAAAATTTTGTGAAGTCATTGTTGGAGTGGAGGTGCCATTGTGAGAGGTCTGAACAAATAATAAATGATATGAACGTACTTTATTTTGTGTGGTGCTTGAGGAATCATTTGTTGAATTATGTCAATTTGTTTTTATGATGATATTAAGATTTTATGAAGTCATTGTTGGAGTGGAGGTGCCATTGTGAGAGGTCTGAACAAATAATAAATGATACTGAATAAAAAATAAATGGCAGATGATTGGTACAAATACAGTAATAATCTTATCAAGTTACTGTACCATCACAATGACTATGGTAAAAGGAATACTGCATGTGTAAGTTTTCCAAATTCAAATTATCTATGTCTTCATGTCCTGCAAAGATACCAATCTTTCCCAATTCAGAGCTTAGAAACTTTAAAACCTCTCAGGTAAATGTAACCTGACATCAACATTTTGCTTGAAATGTACAGGAAGACTGTCATTTAGAACTAAACCATTGAATTAAAAATGGAATAAAACATCTAACCCATGTGAAAGGATGGGCGAGGCAATGTTTTGTGAGTGGGAGAGCCTCCCTCCAAAAAAAAAAAAATAATAATTTTGGCAGGTTAAACACATAAAGAGTACCTTTAATCACTGTTTAAGTGCAAAAAAAGGCTTAATTTAGCTTCATGTTAGCAGGGCTTAACATAGATATTATACACAAAATAGAGGATTGAATTACTAAGTAATTTTTCATTTGATTCCAATTTATTTTGCCACAGTGAAAAAAAAAATAATTGAAAAGCAGTTGACTAGATATAAGAAGACATTAATATAAATAGAGGGTAATTCTACTCAGTAATTTAGGCCAACTTAGTAATGAAATTAATTCTTGGTGCACACAGTAGACAACTATGGCATGTATTAGCCAGAGGCATATCAGTGAATATCTATTAAAAAACTTATCAGTTATCCTGGAGGAGAGACAGGTAATAATATGTTATACAGCATATGGAAATATTGAGTCATAGTGCCCAGGTTTAAAAAGTTCAGTTTTAAAAATGACCCTTTGAATTGAGAAGTTATATTGATTAAAATTTTAGTTAGAAAAGTAGAAAATATTTCAATTTGCAAAATTGATCAAGTGACAGAGATAAAAAGAAGCAAAAACAAAGTCCACAATCCATTCCCTTGTATGCCAGCAGCTTTGCTGGTAGGACAGGTCTTCATTGTTGGTGCATTGGAGTCCACTGGTGTTGTATTCTGCAGGAAACCCTGTACAGAACTCAGGCTGCCATTATTTGGTGCAGGAGGAACTGCAAGTAGTTCACACATCAGTGGATAGATGTCGACACTGTTGAATGGCTGTGCAGTGTAGTTGTGCTTGAAGTTAGGACCTCTGGCCAAAAAGATGGGCTTCATTGACATCAGCTCGTTACTGTAACCATGAGTGCCTTTACCATACAGAGTTGTGTTCTAGAATGAAATAGGAAAATATAATTTATCTCTTTATTTAGTGACAGACATATTACTAGTTGGAATTTTTAAGCCATGTAAAATTAATTTCTGTTATTTTATGTTGATGTAATTTTTTTTTCGCTAGGAATAACCAGATATTTTAAAGGAACCACATACTTGTGCACAACATTAACAAACAAGCTTACATAAGTACACAACCATCCCTCATCCATTACAGCTAATATGGGCATGATACGGCGGTTGTTTTTGTAGTGGTAGTTTTCGGGAATGTCTTCCTTCAAGTACACAGTCATATTGGGATGCTTGGCGTGGAGTGCATTGTAAACCTCTTGCACTTTGCCATCATGAGGAAGGATTTGACATAAAGCTCCAGTGGTAACAACAAACTTTATTGCTGAAGGATTGGTGATCAAATTTTCAATGGATACAGTCCTAGTTGATGGGTCAATCTCAGCCATGCCATGGTCACTTGCCATTATTATATTGAGTTGATTTGCTAGTCCTGCTTTATACACTTCAGAAAGTATGTAGCCAAGAAGTGTGTCCATTTCTTTTATTTTCTGCTGCATCTCTGGTGACTTGGGCCCTAACTGATGACCAAGGCTATCCGGTTCTTCAAAATACAGGGTAGCAAAGTGAATGCTATCACACAGGAACCATTTGATAACTGTGTCAACTCTTTCCTTGAATGGAACGTCCTCATTGTAAGGTTTGACTATGTTTGCCTTCAGACCTTGGATCCTGGTCTCAGTGCCAGGCCAGAAGTAGGTGGCACTACTCAGGTTGTTCTTCCTAGCTGTTATCCATATGGGCTCTCCACCATCCCACCATTTGGTTGTCTTAGTTGCTGGGGAAAACCACTCGTTAAACTGGGGATCATACATTCTGTTGCCAACAATGCCATGGCTCTCTTCATACAGACCTGAATAAGGCAGTATTTTTGGAACTAAGGCCCTGTGCTTAAAATGGCATTTATTTATGAAGTTGGGGTTTTGTGCCGTATCTCAATGTTGATGTAACATCTGGATTGAACTGGCATATCACATTGAGTTTTTAAGATTACCTATGAAGGCATAGTTTGAATTCGGATAGGTATAGCTATTGGAAAGGGGTGATCACAAAATAAAAAGATATTGTAGAGCTTGTGTGGGATATATATGCACCAAAGACACTCTGCTTATTGTAAAAAATGAATTTTCGCACTATAAATGATAACAGATCACCTTACCTGTGGCCATAGTATAGTGGGAAGGAAAAGTCTTAGTGGTGAAGGGGTTGTTCATATAAGGTGCCTTGACTCCTTCTCTGGCCATCTTGTCAAAGTTTGGGGTGTCCACCATGTTCAGGTAATCCCAGCGAAATCCATCCATGGAGATGATAAGGACTTTCTTGGTATACTGAGTACTGTGGCCGTATGTGGCCAGCAGTATACACAGGAGAGCTTTGCACAGGTGCCAGGTGGATGGTGACATGCTGGACGTACTCCCTCTCTATTTTATGTGACCCCAGTTCTGGAAGCAGAAGTTTTGGTGTTATAATGACACATGTTGCCTTAAGATTAGATTAGCTAGCTTAAATAGCAGAGAGATTGTGAATTTTAAATTGTGGCCACAAAAAAGAAAATATAAGAGAAAATAAAAGTACGTAGCTATGTAGTAAATATGCTGAAACCTGGGCCTTTTTTTGTTTGCATCAGTGGCATGTAATACAATAGGTAATTTTTTCATAGTTTTTTGTATTGTTCTATTATCCTGATGTTTATGTTGAAGAATACTTGAACTGTTAGCCCACCATTTACATAAAAGCTACCCCACCTTAGATTATCTGATAATAAGTATTAATACTTCAAATAAAATAAAGCTTCAGTCTTCAAAATGTCTTATCAAAATGTCTGTGTTTGATTAAATAGTTATGTTTGCTGGTTGTCTGGAAGGCCTATTTAGATTAGTTGGTTATCATCATTGAACAGTCAGCTTTGACACATGTGAGGATATATTATCCCATTGTTTAGACCTAGATGTTGACAGATAAAATTAAGTCAGCTCTTGATGATGTGGCAATATTGACTATATTAGCTTCATACGAGGTTGCAGGGATTGTGAGACAAGCAAGGTTGTTGTCAAAAAAGCCCAGTCTTCAATTTGAACCATATTGGAATAGTAAAATCATGTGTCTCAAATCATTAAAATATTTTAGCAGTGCATCTTAACAATATAAGATAAGCTGGGAATGTAACAAAGAAAACATCTCCTGAGAATTTTTGTTTTTATTTAATACATGATCCTGAATGTTGTGATTGACTTTTATTCCATATGTGTGGCTAACTGGTGTGTGTGTGTGTGTGTGTGTGTGTGTGTGTGTGTCCACAACCTGGCCAGGCTATACTCAACCTAATGATCTGTAAATAGAAATTGCAAGTATGATTAAGTATGATGATGTTGCTTTCATTATATGTAATATTATACGTTGACATATTTCAGGTAAACCTGTGTTTCCAGAAGATAGCAGCAGAGATACTAGGAATCACGTTAACCAAACCAGAGCTAGAGCAGCACCAGAGAGTGGTTAAAGCAGACATTATTAACTATCAGGCAAAAGAACAAACTTCAAAACAACCCCCTCCTCAGCCCAAAAGTTCTCTGTGTGCAATACAGTGATGATGGTTTATGTACAAAAGAAACCATTTATTAGAACATCCACAATTCTACCAAAAGCTTACCTATATTCAGTACAGAGATGAATGTTCATTTTCAAAGGCAGCCATATGTAAACTGTACAACTATTCCAGCCAAAGGTCCACAATCAATATAATGAAGAGGATTTTGTAAGGAAACCATTAAGTTGCAGAACATGGAATGGTTAACCCTTACCATCATCAACAGACAGCCCAAACTCTAGTCCAATGCACAAGCTGTTTGAGTTTTGCACGTGTAAGCAGTGCTGATGTCCACTGTTGTAGTTCACCAACTTGTGATCTAATTTTTTTTTTCTGTTGTTGTGACCCATGTAACTACATGTATTTTATTCTATAATTGAGTTAGAAATACAGGTTTTGTACATTATTGAAAAATTGGGAAAAAAAACAGCACCCAGAGGGTTAATGGCTGAAGCACTTGGGTGAGCTTAAAGCAAAAGATCAGAAAGGCACATGTTTTAGAAGTGTAACTGTTGGTTCATGATCAAAGAATCGTAATTACAGAAATGTTGAAAAAAAGAGAGTTAGCCAGGCTCTATGTTTGATTTTTGAAGACGTAAATAAAAAGGGTTTGTTACTTCTGCCATAAAGGAAGTTACATTTTTATCAGCTGGGTTTGTTTGTATATCAGTTTTTCTCAAATTTTGGTGAAATTCTTAGGGTAAACATTTATTTAGGAGGGGAAGTAATGATAACTGCATCCAGGCCTCCCAGTGTTTTAAAAAGATTTTTATTGTCTTTTTGTCATGGCAGAGTTACGTGCTCTTAGAGTGCTCCCTCATTCTTATATCTTCAGAAAAACAGTGGCTGATTTAACTGACTTTAGTTAGCATAATGCATTTTGCATGTGCTAGAGGCATGTAAAACATGTTTTGAAACAAGTGTGACTTGACCATAGAATAATACTAATTTATAGATAGATGGATGTGAAAGATCCATTTTTTATCAAGTTAAATTGTATAGGTGTCGTTTGTTTTATTTTTATCTATTTTCTATGAAGATGTCCTCACGTAAGTATAAGTTAACTGCAACTTAATTTCATATCACTTACCTGGCCTTTCTTTCATCGGCGTTTATTTTTAAATAGTTTTTAACTGCTCATATTAAAACTACTGTAGATTTTATTATTATTATTATTATTATTTCAGGTTTTACAGGACTTTACATACTTGTGTATCTGTCTATGAATATGAAAAAAAAAATCACTACTATTTTGATAAGTGGAAAATGTTTTAGAAATTTGTTTAATATCCTTTGTATATGTAGTTATATGTATATTTTTTGCCACTTGCCAAGTCTTGTAGCCATGTTCAGAAGCTGTATCTATGAGCATGTATGGATTCGTACATGCATGTGCATGTGTACCAACTGGTTACTCTCCCACATGCACTTCTTATTTACAGGTTTTGAAACTTGAACATAGTTGCAAAGATACTCATTATAATTGTCTCATTCTGTGAAGTTCATTTAGTTCATGAAAAATATCTAATGTAATCCAGTTAAAAGATATTGAACATGACATTTCAAAAGCTGGTGATCTATGACTAGTTTAGGATAAGGTGGTTAAGAAATCTTCTTTAAGTAGTTATCAATGGAATTTAAAGAAATTAAAGATCCTCTCCAGTTTGGCTGTCCCCTTTTGGGCTTGGAAGAAGTTGAGACACGATATAAATACAAATTTTATTATATATATATATATTAATTTGAAATGTGTTAATGGATTTTTATTATTTTTCATCATATAGCCCATTTCAAGTTCACTAATCATACCACATTCCATGTGCAAGATGTGTCCGTAGAGGCAAAACACAATCATCAGATTGCATTAGTTGAGTTTCATCATGTTTGTATATTGTATTTTGCATTTTGACATTTATACAAATATTCATTACATCCTGCCTGCATTTTTTAATAATGCAAATCAATAAAATGTGTGTGTATAAACACCCGTTGTCTGGTGAATTGTTGTTATATGAAAGGCGTGTAATCATGTATTGAATACTGCCAGTTTAGGCCAGTGGAAAAAACGTAGACTTATGGTTGTACTGAGGAGATAATTATATATAAAAAATATGATGAATATTATGAATAACTTGCTGATTCTGTGGAGTTTGCTGAATATATTTCCAGTGAATTTTTTAGAGACTTAAGTGTGCACAGCTTGGTAATGATTCTGAACAGAATATTGCTGTAGACAGTGTCGTCCTTTAAATTCGATATTTAATACCAGTTTAACAAGACACCATAAACTGACTTAAAATCTGGCATCATTGCCCAGATTTCAAGGAAAAAGGCTGTAAGATAGATAATACATTATCCCACAATTTTTAAAATAAAAATAATATGGATACCACAAAAATTGTAAGCATAATGTTTGACTTAAGTGTGCAGATTTAAAAACTTTTCATGGCATTTCTTTTTTAATATTGTCTAAGTTGGAAACAGAGTTTCAGTGGTGAGAAATTACTGTGAATTTCTGTGAGACCAAGTATAGCTAAACATGATCCAGTAACTTGACACAGTTTTTGTTATTAAAGTTGATATTAACAATACAAAATTAGTACTGTAAACCAAAGTACCCCACACTATAATTTCAATGATGCTTTAAACTGTAAAATGAGGACCAAATTGATACATGTTGTGCTATTCTTTGTAGTCACAAAGCAATCATAGCAAGGCCAACAATTGCATCAGAATTTACCATTTGAGAATCCACGACCAATCAATCTTTTGTTAAATATTACTACAAAATCTTCTCCGTATATAACAGAAAAACTATTCTAATAATTTTGTGGAGCTAGTGTTATTATATTTGGCTTTAAATAGGCAAAATTTACAATAATTAGGAGTTTAAGTCTCACATAAAAATAGGTGAAACACATTTTGAAAAAATTCAACATTGGCTTACCTGTGAAACTTTTCAATTCTTTGACACTTCCAATCTGTGTGCTTATAGCACATTTGAGATGGCAGCCCACACTACTTGTGTAAATCACAAAGAGGTTTTATGACACAATTGATTTTCCTGGGAACTATTTAATTCACAGAACACAGTACAATTCAGGCATATTTGTGGCTCTGGTTTATGTATGAAAACCACACAGATGTTCATTTGCTCAGANTGAATGCGCTTGCTCCAGCTGGTGGTACAATATTCGGAGGCGGTATCGCCTCTCTGATCCTCTAGTTATATTTGGCTTTAAATAGGCAAAATTTACAATAATTAGGAGTTTAAGTCTCACATAAAAATAGGTGAAACACATTTTGAAAAAATTCAACATTGGCTTACCTGTGAAACTTTTCAATTCTTTGACACTTCCAATCTGTGTGCTTATAGCACATTTGAGATGGCAGCCCACACTACTTGTGTAAATCACATAGAGGTTTTATGACACAATTGATTTTCCTGGGAACTATTTAATTCACAGAACACAGTACAATTCAGGCATATTTGTGGCTCTGGTTTATGTATGAAAACCACACAGATGTTCATTTGCTCAGATAACAATATTAGTTCCTTTAAAGAGAAATGCATTTATCTTTACATAAAGAAAATGATCACAATGAGGCAGCAGTTCATCTAAATGTTAATGATTAATCATTGGAAAGACGTTTATTTTTGCTAATCATTGGACTTCACGATTTCACTTCAAATTACCAAATAATTTGTTTTCCTCATGCACATAAAAAAGTTCTATAAAAGCTTTTATTTAAGTAACCATATTCAAATAGCAGTTTAGATTGCATTTTTGTATTTATAAAGGTCTCGTACATCCACACAATTATACCATATTAATTCGAAAGGTTCCTTTTTCCATCCCCAATCTCTTGCACTGTCACTTTAAAAATATCTTTCACTTTCAAAGAAAATGGATCAATAGACAAGAAAATATGAAAGAAGAATGATTCAGAAGGTATACATCATTAAGATCTGTCTGGGTCTGTTTAAGATCATGATTAGCCCTTTTGGTAAATAATGACAATAAACAGTACAGCCCTCCCAAAGAGTAAAATATATAAAAAATTTTGTTGTCTTTAGCATCTTAGTTGAAGAAATGGGTTCATTTTGCACACTAGAATTTCCATTGATCTACAAGCCTGTAACTGGATGAGATATGAAATAAAAACTCAACTCTGAACTTTTTTTTTGGTTCTAATGTAGGTAAGGCCCTAGCCCTTGATCTACATAGACTTTATTGTAGGTAAGGCCTCTTTCCTTGATCTACTTTTTTTCTAGGAAACATGAATGAAAGATGACAATGCGAATATCCCACTACCAAAATGAAGTGTAATGTGGGTAATGGCAAATACAGATTAAGGTTAATAAAAAAAACTAGAGGATCAGAGAGGCGATACCGCCTCCGAATATTGTACCACCAGCTGGAGCAAGCGCATTCGTATAGACCCCCACATATACAAAATAAGGAACACAGCCACCAGTCTTGTGCTTGACAAGCTGTAAAAATGCAATCAACAAGAATTTTCAAAATATGCAAAAA